TATGAGAAAATACTTTTTGAAAGGCACTACCCTGCTATTTATGAAATACCAGGCATCTGAGAAGCTCTTAAAGACGAGACTGAAAGAAGGACAGTGATGGGTATCTCCACTGATTACGAGTCATTCGTAAAATATAATACGTCCACATGTCATAATTCATTCGATTGGGGCTGTGTTTTTCTTCGAAAAAGCGAAGTAGGATCAGAATAGTTTAGCACTAGAAGTGCCGATATAACAATAAACAGTAGAGCTCCAGCTCGATATCTGAAAAGTGTTGATTAGAGTGCGTCGAAGGAGAAAAAACAATCACCTTGAACCGGTGAACGGTCTGATCACATCCAGAACTGTAGCAAGAAGGTATAAGGATAATCTCAAGAGATCCACCTGAATCATAAAAGCATCATAAAAACAATTCTCATGTCAACCTTACCAGAATATTAACAACAGGCAATAATACTGCGTTTCCCCAGTCTGTTCCGCCACCTAACCGCACATCAATAGCTTGTTTCATGGAATTTTCCAAGCGACATATCTTTGAGAATGATAAGTTGAGATTTACATTTGAACATGGTTTCTTTACCTGGTTTTGAACATTTTCAGCACTTTCTTCTACTTGGCGGAACCGATCATTATACTGATAATCCAAACGACTGGCCATATTCTTCTGCTCCTGTTTCAAGCTCAAAAACTCTGCTTGATGAAGTTCGATGGTCTCATTGACCAGGTCTTCCAATTTCTAAAAACAACACATGAGATTTCAGAGGATTAGGAGATTATACTTTGTTTTTGAATCGTTCTTCGTCTAATGCTCGAGTTATATCAGCAACTTCGTTTTTATAAACACTCTGAAAAGAATTTTTAAGCATATGAAACGACTTGAAGAAACAACTCACCGTGATTTGCTCGAGCATATCCTCTATCTTATTCAAACGACAATTCACGGTTCTCATTTGATCATCTACATTGTCTCCATGACTTGGAGTAGAAGTGTAGATTGGATCCAGTGATTGGTAGGGCAGAGACTGCAAAATGTGAAAATTATACATTTCAGTTTTTCTAGAAAGTATTACCATATTACTTTCGTTCATGTGAATACTCTGATTGCGTTGTACTGAAGGCGTGGGCGAAGACAAATCCATTTTGATTCCGGCAGGTAAAGTCGAAGATTTCGTTTTCGTCGCAGAGTTACTAAACCAATAGAATTAGCGGGAAAAGGAGAAGGTGACGAACTGTGTACTTCCATGTTCGGAACTTGCGTAAAAAACACTTTGTCCAACACGTGAATCATCTCCCAAAGCTGCAAAAAAAGGTTCAAAGTCTTCGAATCTCTCTGATAAATTATGAAATATGTGTTTGAAACTGCTCATACCCCCAAATCGTCTATCATTTTCCAAAAAAACAGAAGTAACATCATGACGTTTCTCGGGCATGATGACTATTTACTATAATTTCTGTTTACTTTGATTTCTGATATGATTCAAACAAGCTCAAGAGATAGTTGAATCATAGTTGATTCATGGACTTATCCTCGAATAAATATAAGCAGAATGTTGGAGTAACTCCATATGTGGCTTTTCGACATCAGCAGAATGGTCGTATCACTTCAAGCTCTTTTCCTTCTCACTCTCATTCCTTCCGTTTTCACAATCAAATGTTATCAAGGTAATCGAACTTTTTTCTTACGCAGTTATACTCTCTGCTACAGGTTATCGTTCCTATCAAGACAATTCAATTAAAGACAGTCGTGTTGATCACTTGAAATGTGACAAAAATTACGATTATTGTGCCTGGTAAGAGAAATGTGATCCCCCAATCCTGTTCAACCGTAACATTTCAGGCAAGCGGAAACCCACTCAACTTCAACTAGCATGGGAGATGTTAAGATGTCCTACTATTGTGCTTCATCATCTCAAGTGAACGCCGCTACCCCAGTTTGTCAGGTGAGCAGATAAGATAGGAAGATATAAATCAAACTTTATAAATTCCAGAACGAAGCTTGTTTTTCTTCTGCTCGTGGCTCACTCAGCGTAGTAACCTGTTGTTGCAAAGGAGACTATTGCAATAACAGTGGCGGATCTAAGTTCACTCTCCTGGGCGTCTCATTCGCAATTCTCACATATTTTTACAGTAAATTACTTTAATGATCATTCCTTTTTGAAATAATAAATGATCAAACCCCTTCTTGTGTAGACAAAAAAGACATCAATCAAAATAAACTAACCGGGGACTTCATTTACGTTATCAGCAGAGCCAAAAGTACTTTTCAACCGATGTGCGAACTCGATCGGAGCCGAGACTACACTTTCTGTCATTCCTTTGATATGAGCTCCAGTTCTTCTACAAAAGGTAATTATGAAATACATTTGTAACTATTTGCGTGGGCGCGCTGATGACTAAATTGTATGAGTAATGCTAAGACGAGGAAGAAGGTTAGAAAGGTGAAAAGAATTACAAACCGGCCTATCAGTTTGGAAAGCGCACAACCAAAAAAGGTAAACACACCTCATTCCTTGGCCAACACTAGCCATGGGATTAATCTTGCCGTTGCTCTCGTTCAACCCGTTGTCGATCGCTGCAATGCGAGATTCGAATCTACTCAACTTTTTCTAAAAGGAAAAAAATAAAATATGAAGAATACAGGTCTTTTCCGACTTTCAAATATTCCGAGTCTTGAAAATATTTTTTGTTTTTCTTCTCAAACTGTTGTCTTATTCTTGTCATTTGTGGATTGTCTACACCTCGTTGAGCTTCGGTTTTATTTGTGAGAGTGAGGAATTCCTCCACATTCCCTAGATAAGAGCATAAAGATAAATAAGGACGCTATGACCCACCTTGTTGATCTAAATTAATATGTTTCAATCGTTCCATTATTTCGTTTTTTTTGGCAATTAACTTAGTTCGCTCTCTGTCATCCCCACCATGTGGGGAACTACTAGCTCCATCGTCTGACGACCGAACACTACTTCTATCACCGTCGTGGGAAGAGAACTGAACAATAAAAGAAAATAAGAAAAATAAAAAAAACAATATGCTTACCTCGTTAACACAAGTTGTGTTTGAACTCTTCATAATATCATTGCATGTACCACGAATCCTTTTCCTGAATTTCATTCGCATTATGGACGCTTCAGAAAGGGCACAGGCACACAACAGAGTAGGAGAGTGAATACTGATTGACAAAACATCGTTTTGATATAGATGATAAGAGACAGGCTTTCAAGAAACGGACTTTGTCCTTTCGTCAAGAAAATGTTACACCACAAATGGAAGTCAATTGCAATTATAAGGAATGAGAAGAATGACAAAAAAAAACAAAAGAAAGGTTTGAGGCAAAAATCAAAACATATAAAGCCAGGTCAAGTCATAAAAAAGCATTTAAAAATGTAAAAAAAATCAGAAAAGTATGATCCAAACGTTATCAACGTTTCATCGGTAGGTATTGATAACGAAACTAAACAGTATCTTTATTCTGAAGTAAATGATAGCAAATATGGAGTAAATTACATAAAAGAAATTATTAGCAAAGAAACCGGAATAAATAGTAAGGCCTTATATGTACACGATGTTGAAGACTTTGCACACACACACACACACACGGAGATTAATTTTCTAAATATCTTTCAAACGAATAACACAGTAATCTGACTAAATTTTGCCTATAAAAGCTCTGATGTAGTTTTAGACAATACCCATCGGAAACCCAATTAAAATTTCTAATGGTTCAAAACAAAATTAAAATACTTCTATAAAACGAAAAACTTAGCTAGAGAAGCGTCTTCTCCAAACCGTCCACTCTCTTTCTTCCGATCAACAGGCGCTCATCGTCGTCAGAATCACTGGACATATCTCCGATTGCTCCCGGAATATCTTCCAAGCCAATTCCCGAGTGACCACGTTGCACCACGTTCTCCATCAAACCATTACGAGTCAAGCTGCAAAAAAAAGTTTCAGAAGCGGGGCGGCAAGACGTACGCTATCGCATTCTCGTCCTCGTCATCTTCGAGGGATAGTTCCAAGTATGGATTGGATTGTTGTGGTCTGAACTTCATTCCTACTAAAATGAAGAAGAAAAGAGTCGCAGACTCTACAACTGCCACGGTAACCCATTCCAAATTGAAAGGAACAGCATACTACAATCACGTATTCATATAGGACTTGTAAACAAAAAATACCTGCAGCATGAATTTGAGTACTCTAGTCAGATAAATATAACAAATTATAATCATATAGAACTGTCTGAACAGACGAAGTTTCTGCAAATTAAACGCTGATTTGCCATCAGTTGCAGCTCCTTCTTGTAAATGAGCTATCGACCTAATATGGCATTCATGAATATTCCTCCAAACGAATAACTCACCAGACAATAGGGAAGAACACGCAGAAACAGCATATCAGATCCAAGAACACAAACATTTCATACCAAAACTGATATCCCTGCTGACCATTCTCAGACTCTTCCAATATGACCATGGCAATGTTATCAATAATCTTAAACATGTAAAAGGTCACGGGGATAGAAAACATGAGTAATCCACCTGAAGAGGTAAAACTATCATGAAAACTTTTCGATCTCGGTCCGACAGGAAGTTTTTGAAGAAAGTATAACCTGTCCCAATCAAAATTATCGTTCCGAATAATAGAGCGCCTTTGAGACTGAAGAAACAAGTGAGAGCGTGTAGTTGTCTATGTTGAAAGAAACATGACTATGAACTTACAGATGAGTAATATAGAAGACTACGGCCCAAATTTCCCGTTGTTGACCATATTTGCTAACAAAATAATAATTAACCCCATGGAAGAAGAGGGAAGCAGATTTCAAAAATATGAGAGCCGTCATCAATCCATGGACTCGATAAATATTTCTTTTGCTTAATGAATAAATAAATGTCATTGTGATGGGAATTTAAATTGATTATTACTCTGTTAAACATAATCGATGACTCCAAACGACTCCGGTAAAGAAGAACATCAACGATATGTAAAGAAGCAATTGTGGTTTGGGAATGTCTCCTGCTGATAGATATGATCCGACATTCGCCTCTACGATATCAACAACAAAATCCACGGCGACTCTATCACTACAAATCGCCAAATTCAGAAAGGATTAAGAGAGAGTAGGAAAGAGAGAGAGAGAGAGAAAGTGAGAACAACGGACCTGTAGCCATGAGCTCTGTAGTTGAAACAATTGTGATAGATTAAGTAATACTTTCCCCGAAGTTGTTCGTTGAAACGGATGGAAATCTTCAAAAAAAAACTTTCACAACGAAATATTTTGTTTGACTCACATTTGTTGAATAATGATTGTCGTTCTGAATCAAAGGAACATAGTCAACATAAGTTTTCCCTGATTCTCCAGAGTTAAAGACACGTTTAATTGTATCAAACAGCCATCCATCTCTTTTCTTTCGAGTTTTCTGCAGGAGAAAAAGATTTTAATTATGAAATATTCGTAAGAATTTTTTAAACTAACCTCTTGAGTAGCCTCAGCGTTCTCACTTTTCGCAGCAGATTCGACTGTTGCTGCTGTCAGAGGTCCATTTTCATTTTGACACCTGAATTGATCGAATTTTCTTTTAAATTGAAAGCAAGATGTTTTTGAGATGCGGAGGAGCTACAGTTAAAGAACACCTCGTATGTTCGTTCAACAACCTTTCGGTTCTGACCAGAAGAGCAAACGAACAAACAAAAAGAGATGGAAAGAGATAAATATAGAACAAGAACCAGAGAAAAAAAGAAAGAGAAAGTTATCAACATGCTGTTATAATAACATGAAATGATTTGATGTAGACAGGAGAAGCTCACTTGAAACTTGAGCTTAAAGTGCAGTTGTTAATATCCAATTTCAAGATTGTAAAAGAACAGGTCTATACTAGATGATCAGTTAGATAAGTTCAATAAAATTCAACAAAAGAATCGCTGCTTCCGATAGAAGTAGCTATTAATTTAGAAAGAATCGAAAACAATGGAAAAGAAACGTACTCCTCATGTGACGCACAGAGCCGTATTTGGCCTCCTTCTCCAGAACGATACACCCTCAGACGCTTCTGCGGTAAATCGGCAAAGAAGAACAATGCATCATATCCTTGATCAGTTTGCTGAAAACCAAAGCTTACAACCTGCTCAGAGAATAATCAAACTCACTTGCAACTGACAAACATGGGGATTGGATCCAACACCTGCTGCAATGGATATACCTTTCGATAAGGAAAATCCAATTACTCCCTTGAATAATGAAAATATTACAAAAAATTTGAGTTTAAACAAACCAACTTGTCCGCATTCTCCCCGGAGTCTACATTACTCAAGATTTTGTCGGGCACAGTAAAATTTGACAAAACTAAATCGAAAGTTCCGTTTGTATCGAAACCAAAGCTAGTTAGAATTATATTTCTACGAGAATCATCCTTAAACAGATTCATTAAGTGAGAAAAAAATTAGAGATGAATCACCCGTAATTTTAAGTGATGTATTTTCCCATGAATAATTGAGAAAAGTGAAAAAGTCAATATAAGGGACTGTATGGTCCTTTGAGCAGCAACATACATTTACTGAAAGACTTCAATCTGCATAATAATAACATAATATAGAAGTTCAAGAATGTTAATCGACAATTTAAGCTACTAAAATCCTCTTTCAAACATTTTAATAAAATCACATAAAAGGGGAGGAGTGAATAAGTCAACCCGCAAAGTGATCATTGTTAACTCGTAAACAGCATACACATAGCTAACATGGTTCCACTGCAATCACAAGACGCAAAATGTTTTCTTCGCAACTTAATTAATTCTGTTAACATTTAAAAAATAAATAATTTATTACTCGTAGTCAACACCAAAATACTGGTCAGAAATCTGTTATTAGTATTGCAATCATATCCTCACTATTATGTTCTCAACATAAGATTTGGCTGACCCATTTTCTTCAACTAAAGCTCGCATTGATACATGACAAGCATAATCGATCATTTGGGTTTTTATGAATATTTGAGATAAGTTCGATGTTTCCATTCCGATGTTGACTTCATGCCTTTTCCAAAAGAAGCGTCGGAATGTACCAGCGAGCTGCTTCAGCACGAAAAGCACGCAATATCCTGTTGCAGGAACCTAAACTATCAACTGTTAAATTGCGAAGACTAGAATGTTTACGAGCAGACAAAAACAAAAAATCAAAGAATGCCCTATTGGAACTGATATTCGGCCGGTTAGATGTTTCACGCACTAACAGTTAAGACTATTATGCAAAACTTCGACTACATTATCACTTTGTTCCGGAAATGATAGGGGGATCTGAGTCTTACCAGAGTCAAAATAACAGGGACACCGTTTGCCACTTCTATGTTACTCCATATATGTGATGTATCAGGCGGTACCCCGTTAATTGGCATTGGTTGCGGCTCAGCCTCAAGTGACGAAGTTCTGTATTGTTGAAAATAGGCAATTAGAGAATTGATGAGTTCTAGATAACCTTAAGCCATTGGTAACTTTGTTTTGAATGGAGGCTGTAAATCCATGAGTAGGATTAATAACAGTATCAATCACATAGCAGAGAGATGGGTCAGATCTTGAAAGGATCAAAGCAATATTTCCACAAAGAACTGGTTCGCATACAACTTCATCGGGGCTTGAGTTCAGTCTAAAATAATGGACAATTGTTTTGAAATTCAAAAAAGTTTAAATATTGCAGCATGTGTTCACGCAATTGACGTCATACGTGAGAAACACGTGACTTTTCTGTCAAATTTCATTTTTGCAAGAGACTTCACTTGAAGCGGTTGTGTTCACGCTTCTTATTTGAATTGAAGTATGCTGTTTTATTAACAATGTTTAATTTCAGATAAAAACTGGTAAACAACTAGCCTTGTCATAAACTTCGTTCCAATGGTGTCCTTGAGTTTTCTAAAGCTTCCAATTCTTCTGAGCTTAACACCCAATCTATTCTTCCCAAGTGTTACAACATTAGCGGAAATGTCTCCAGTATAATCACACTGTACAACGAGAATTACTCCTTCACAAAGACCCTTCTGAACGAAAACTTTTGTGTGAATGTCTAAGGTTAGTTTTTAGTATAACATATTTGGGTAATAAACGGAAAAGACAACTATACACAGCAATGATCGTCAACATTGCTTTGTAGTCAAACAGGGGGAACTGAGACAAAAATATTTAGGAAACAGAGGCAATGACGTGAGGGACTTCCCATATTTTTAACTCAAAAGTTTTTTTTACACTACTAACTTTACTAAGTTTGTGAAGTACTCACGTTTCCGGAATATAGCATTGTCTCCATATCACTTCCTGATATTGATCTCTGAATACCAGCTGGCGACGCGTCTGTTGGAGAATCAGGAACATTCAACGTCTTCTGAATTGAAAATCATCCAATTAGTATGGCATAAGTTAATACCGCATTTGACAATGACGCTGTTTTCTTGTGTTCTTTGGATTTTTCTAAATTATTAATGCTAAATACAATTTGACGACCAGCCCAATGAGATCCTATCTATAATAACTTTGCTCCATTATGAGAACGCCTCGATCAGAATGAAGTCGCTTACATGGTATCCCCGAGAGTAAACTCCAGTCTTAACATGCCTCAAATCAATACAAGTTTGACTATCTCTGTCAAGACGGAAAGAGACGAGATAGAATACACGATTTGCATGACATTTTAATAAAGCTAGAATGACATCTCTGAAAAAAAATTAATAATGTTGTTCTTCTTTTCGTCAGCCACTTCCTTCCTCACGTCTGAGGAAATTAGAATATGTTCTTACTTGCTGATATAAAACAAGCGGGCCCAATAAAAGAGACGACTATAGTATCGTTCATTAATAGAAAGCTTCAACACTGATGCACCGTCTTGAATCACGAGCTAACAAATTGATGAGTTGGAGAGTTGAACAAAAAACTGTTCAAACCTGATTACGATTGTCATCAAAAATCAAAATCTCATTCTGAAAACAGCCGAAGGCAGCTAACGGGCCTATCGGCACATGGTGCATAGTGTTTTGAAAAAACAAAAAAAAAAGGCTGAAATAGAAGGAAATGCTTCAAGTAAACGTTCTCAAGGGTTATTATCTATTGGATGATTGAAGGAACACAGACAATACAATATTACATGATGAGGCTACGATAAGGTTCAATCAGCTGCACATGAAATCGATTTGAAGTAATGCTTAAGTCTTTCTCTTCTTCTCTCTATCACTCTTTCTGTTTCTTCTTCTCTGCTAAGCATAATTTCTGACTATCTTTTATGTACATAAAGAGTCAAACAGCTTGCCTTGAAGTCTTAATAAGGTTTTATCGAATACTTCTCAAGTATAATCGTCGAGCAACAGTTTCTGACAAGAAAAATGAAAAAAAGGAAATACTAGGCTATTCCTTGAGTACACACAAATGAAACATCAAATCGAATCTTTTTATTTTCCATGACATTATCGTTTACACGCCACAATATTTTATGTTTGTTTATGAAAGCACTTAATCTTATGTACAAAAAATAACAAACTATGAGAAAGTTACTTATTTGGCTTTTGAAGTCCTTTCACAAATCTGACGGGTCTGGCTATTTCCCTTAACGGCTTCTTATAATCTGTGGCATCTGAAACATTTCCAAAACCATCTGATCTCGTTATTTTGTTTGAGCTGCCTATGTTTTCATCGGCTGCTACTTCTGCAAACCTACAGTTATGCTTATTAGGGACTTCACACACGCACCTGATACTGATGAGACTTTCGGAGCGTGATGAACCTTGAAAACCTTCGCTTTTTGAATATAAACTGAATTGTTTTCTTCGATTAATGAGCTTGTTGGTGGTGTTGTTTTTGGTGTTTCCAGCAAATACGACGAAGTTGTTATAGTCGGTTGACTGGAAGTGTAAGAGGATGATGAGTATTGGGTTGAAGTTTGCGGAGAAGTTGCTGAAGTTGGGACTGAAGTAGTCGGCACAGAAGATGCTTTGGTCGTTAGCCAAGGAAATAAATCAAACATTATATTTCTGGTACTAAAGATTGGGTTCAAAAACGGTGTGGTTGTTTGAGTATGAACCGGGCTCGTTGTTGTAGTTGGCACCATTTTGACTGTTGTTGAAGTGAAGGTATAAACGAAGGAGGTCAGTGGGAGAGGTTTATGCTCAACTTTATCATTTCGCGATGATTCCGAAATGTCATTGGGCACTTCAGGCATTGCTATGGTAGGCTTTGATGCTACTGTGGTCTCATGCTCCATTTCATCCGACTCTGAGGACGAACTTGCAAACTTTGGTTTCATTGTTAAGTCTGTGTCGTCCAAACTGCTGTTAGTATTTGATACATTTCGAAAAACTTGAGTTGATTCGTTGACACGAAGAGAAGTCACAATCTGATCACCTGAAAGAGACATAAACAACGCTGACAACGCGGTTTCTCACCGGGTTCTATGATTCTTTGTGATTTCTTCTTACAATCAAGTTCGTCACTCCCATCCATACAATCAGCAGCACCATTGCAAGCGAAGGCTAGAGGGACACAAGATCCTGAAGCACACCTGCAAGAATACGGTTAAATAACTTCCACTCTAAGTTCTCGGAGGTTCCATAATAACCCATTAGGGTACAACTGGTTCTGTTTGAATTGTTTCAGAAGAGTTGACTAGGCTTCATCGAAGTCATTCAAGAGTACAATTTCTTTCAAAAACATTGAAATACATTCGATATGAACTCCCACTCTCTTACACTCTCTCTCTCTCTCTCATTTTCGTTTCGAACTTCGCTTTTTGAAGAAGCGAAAGCCATCTTTTTCTCATTTTGCAAAAAAACAAAAAACTAATGAGAAATCTTGTTGTTCTTCAAAAAATCCGCAAAACATTCTTGTTTCCCTCGAATTTGCTTTCTATGAGCTTACGTGAACTCAGCTACACCACATTGAATTCGGTCCAAAACTTTTTCAATAATTTCACAGCCTTGTTCATCGTCACCATTGTCACAATCCTACAAAATTTAACAAATAGTTAAGATACACTAGTTCTTGTCTATTTAATATACTCGCATTGAGTAAAGATCTAAACGCTATGAATAATCAAAATATGTTTACTTTGTGACCGTCACATAACCATTCATGAAGAATACAACGCTTTATTCCGCCATAGAGACATTCCGGCTGATTTCCGAAACATGAAGAATTGGCTGAAATTTATTTTTCAATACTTTTTATGCTTCCGTAACCTCTCTCTTTCTATTATCTTCATTTTTTCATTTTTCTCTTACTCTCGAACGCCAAAACTAATTTCATATGCTCTAGCCTTTGATACCTCGTCCTTGGAATTCCGTTCATCTGCTTGAAATAGAAAGAACAATAGGACAGATTGTCCTTTTTGATTTCTTCTCATCAAACAGAAAACGGATAAATGTTGAAATCATTCCAAGCACTGAGTAATTTTTGAAATTAAATCGAAAACAAACCTGGTCGAATATCGCAATGTTCATGATTCTCATCCGCCGAATCACTACAGTCTCGAGATCCATCACAAAGCCAAGAAAGTGGAATACATCGAGAAGAGGCTTCACATAGAAATTCTTTATTTGAACACTTGATGTCTGAAATATTTTAAATTAATCCAATTTTCTATTTATCATTATAAGATAATTGTTCTGTAAAAATAACACGCAATATACAATTTCACATGAGACTAGCTGTTTGGCTAGTAGACTGAGAAATGACCTAATTTAAAATCCTGAATCATGAACAGATCCCTAACGGAATACACGGAGAGAATATTTATCAATATTTTCCGTGAAAATGCAAATATTATTTAATAAGAAAAAGTATCTAAAGTTTTGCAATTAAAAATAAAATCAATTAGTGTATTTACGATTGCGCGCCAAACCTCCCAACAAATTCATTTTTACTTTCTGTTGGCGTGTGAACGGTCGGTCACCATTTTTGCAAATTGATGAACTAGTCTTATCTTCTTAATTTTTTTTTTTTTATAATATTTAAACACTTACTTTGTAAATTAACGTTTATCACGTGGGCGAGGAATAATAAGAAATATTTGCTGAACATGAGTAGTAGGTTAAGATATTAGTCTCGCAAATAGCTGGTGGCTGCTTTAAATGTCCGTAGCTGTAAGGTTGCCAAGACGAATTGAATTCTCTGTATGTCCACGTAACTAAGGAAGATGCTAGAACTACTTGAATATTTCTGTTTAACTAATTGCCCAAGCTTCGATGATGCTTCCCAAAGATAAGTTAATGATCAAGCAAGACAAGTTAGCGAGGATTTTGCTTACTTTTCTACACTTTTTCAAGTTTTAGCTTTGTAGCTTCAGCTAATTAATCACTTATTTATTACTGTTGAAATGTTTGTTAATTCTTCAGACAAACAACAGAGGAATGTTAACGGAAGATAATTAGGATACGATCAATTACTTGTTGACCTATTCCTGTTAATGAACTAACCTTTATCCATAATCTTGTGATCAACAGTTTATATCTTCTTGCTTTCGGCTCTTGAAGAATCACTTTCTATAGTTCTCAGTCATCTCTTTCTCAGTTCACTTTAGGTATCATCACTTCTTATCTCACCTTCCTCTTGCTTTCATTTGTGTGGTCAGTGACAAAAACGTTTGCGAAAAAAACAACCTTTCCATTTTATTTCGTTTTTTTTTTTTTGGGAAGACACTTTCGTTAGAGATGTTTTGTTGTCAGCTGATACAGTTCAGGCACATCTTTTAGCACAAGAAACGTTTGCAAAACAGATTTCGTCTAATTACTTTTCTCGTAAGGAATTTGAACAAAGAATTTTCATTTGGTTGTTGCTCTTTTTCTGCAAATTTTGAATTTTCTTCGCTTTTCATTTCTCATAGCTTTTTATGGATAAATGTACGAAAACGATAGTGTACTTTTTTTTCAAGAACATATCAAATTACTAAGTCTGTTGACCCCCTCCATAGTCCCGCCACCTCGGTCCGATATTACGCCGTCATCATAGTGTTCAACTATCTCGTTTCTGTACCATCTGTTGCTTCTTCTTGCCAGAGCGATTTTCAATTTCGCAACATTCATACTGATTCCATTTGGAAAACGAAAAGCTAGACTCCAGCAGACAGTCAATGTTCTGTCATTCCTCCGTCTCATCTCGAGGTCTTTTAATTAATTTCTATATTTGTTCATGTTTATTATCATTTATTAAATTGGCTGTAATGTATACTTTCCACCCACGGAATGACTCATTTTCAAAAGCGTTTGTGTGTATTCCTAAGACTGTCGTTCGATTTCAAAAAAAATCAGGGACGAATCTATCAGCTGGTGACCGTTAACATGGGCGAGATGAAAGGAACAGTCAGGTGTATCATTTCATCTCGGGCACAATTCTAATCTTATTTAAAATTCAATGTATCTTAAAAAAGAAGTACGATTTATAGAGAAAATCCGTTAGCTGCTTCTTAATCCCTTTTTCTATTTGAAGAAGATCAGCTGTAGATAGAATCACAGAAAACGGGAAAATAGAGAGAATGAGAGAAAGAGAAAGAGAGTCTAACACAAGTCGTTCTTCTCATCAACCTTTCTCTATCTCTTGCTCCCTCTCCTTCCGTTCTTCTTTCTTTACCAACAATTTCTTCTTCTCTCTTTGTTTCCTTTATATCTGCGCTTTCTCTCAATGCCGGTTGTGAGTATGAAAGAATAAGGAGGACTAGTGGAAGAAGAGTGAGGAAGAAGGAGATGGCCAAATGGGCAGTGACCTATTCGTGTAGAAACCAATTTTGTTGTGCGTCTTCTTAACCCTCGTCTGCCTTATTTGGCTAGTGCTGACATATGTACTGAACAGCAGCAGCAATCAACAGGACAAATGAGAAGCGAAAAGTCGAAGAAAAGTCGGATTTTTGCTCACTTTAGCTGTACCTTTGATGAAGTTGGGTCTTGCTATATTTACCAATGAGTGCATGTCATCAAAGAATGGGATTGAATGGAACATTATTCAGAAGCCATTTGTCCGTCACAAATATCCTTTCAAGCTTCTCCATGGACATGAATTATATTGTAAGAGATGTTCAATAGATAGAAGTACAGATAGAGTTAGAATATCTCTGAGAAGCTAACGCTATCCGAAGATTCAGATAAGCAGCAACTCAATGAAAATGAATGACAGAGCTAGAAAGAGAATGAGAAAATAAATTCTTAAGAGGGACGACGACGTTGTCCTGGAATTGTCCTGTTCTATGAGATCGATGCTTGGCTTCATTGATTGTTGGGTAGGACTTAGAGAAAACAGAGTGGTCTCTCACAACGCCCTGCGTCTCTCGCTTCGACGGCCTCGGACCGACCGAAACCAACCGGCACCCCATCTCTTTTACGTTTCTTCTATCACTTCTCTTTTTGTTTTTAAATCTGAAGCTGTTTCATTAATTTAGATTTTGCTATGTGCCAATTCGAGTCAATTTGAATTCTTTCTTGTTTCAACTACGTTCTTTATGTAGCAGTTTGTTTAATCAAACAGCACAGCAGTAATAGCAACAGCAGCCTTACACCCCCACATGTTAGAATTTGAGTTATAAAGTTTTTTGTTCCATAACATAGCCATCGAGAAGTTTTTACTGCTTCAGAAGTGTTTTACCCTTCAAGACTCATTCTTTATACCGAACAAATGAATCATTTCAGAAAGAACAAGTAATATAACCTCTAACTTCACTTACTAAATCTCTCTTCACATTTCGCGAACAGCACTATTTTCTCTTAGTCTGTATGTCTGCTCCTCTCATTTGTGAGCTCAGCAGATGAGTGTCGTATTTCTTTTTTTCTTTGAGACCTCCTCAACTTTTCTACTGTTATGCCTAATTACTTTTTTTTCTTCTTTTCAAAATGATTATGTTCTTAAGAGCAAAAATAATTGCCCTATGGCATTTTGTTGCTTCGAAATATAACTTGACGCCAACATTGTTTTCGCTTGTGACTCTCCTTTTAGTTGCTTTTTGAGTACTTCAAGCTTTTTTAACACTTTTCCAGTTACCATACATACATGCAGCCAGTCAATTCCCTCACGAGATTCGCTTGTGCATCTCTTCTGCTTAAGCTCTCTAAAGCAATGAAGGCCTAAAGCTCTCCAGGGTATCTTCGCGTGGCCATGATTAAGAGCTTGCGAAACCTCATGAATTCAAATAGTTTAAGGGCGTCTTTCTTGTTTACCCGTTCACGTCATTCTAATTTTTCACGTCAGTTGTACGTGGAGCTTTCTGTTCGTGCGTTCATTTTATCACTTGTAGTAACCGGTCGTTCTTGTGCTATCTGTATATTTATACCGGGATTCCTACACAGCTGTTCCGGATGTTTAAAACGGATAAGTTTTTTGGCTTTCGATTTATTAATTCTTGCTCTAGCTTCTCTGTACTTTTAATTTAATAACGCTGTTCCGCATAGTGTAATGAGTTGAATTATAAGTGCAAATCCATGCATTGATTTTAGAAAATCATCAACCAACTGGAAGCCTTGACCCAGCATGTGTCTCTATTGCTCATGCGCGGGAAATTCGAAGTGACATTGATAGAATATCATGCGTATGTGTGTGTCTGAAGGATTGTGCTTCTTCAATGTCTTTATATTCACTGTTAAAAGCATCATTCCAACATATGAAGCTTATCAGTTTTTTGGAAAACAACCATTGGCTTATTGCATTTATACCTCGGCTCTTTAACTGATCGATTGATGCGTTCTCATTTGTATATTATAGTACTGTTTTATCAATTCCGTTCTTCCGGTGCTCTCGTTCAAATTTTTTTTATTTCACACTTATAATTTGAAACTTGTTATCGATGTCGATCTCCGAAAGGATATTCTGCCGTTTGAATAGTATTTCCGTCTTATTCCTTATAGTTTTCTCCAATACAGTTCCTTTCTACGCCTTATTTTTATTTGTTTGATCGATTGAGAAAAATGTACAAGCTTCTTTGTCCTTTTTTGACGATCCTTCAGAACATGCGTTCTGTTTTCAATGTGACAATTTCGTGTATTTGCACTTCTATGCACCTTATTCGTGATGCTTCTTTCCGTTTTCTTGATAGTTATTCATACTTTATTTTTTTATTTTTGTTTACAGGTAGGATTTGCTAGGGGACATTTGTTGCAGAAATACCTAATACGGGAACTTATTAAACCTAAACAGGGCAGCAATGGCCCACAACCCTGCCCTCGACGACATCGACCTCAACTCTCTTAGGGTAAGATTGATATGCATCTATGCCTATGATAGTCATACTGTTTAGGATCCTGCCGGTATATTTGAACTTATAGAAGTAGTCGGAAATGGTACCTATGGGCAGGTCTACAAGGTTAGTTCGTGTTATCCCGCTTGATTAAGTTATCACTTGATTACAGGGTCGACATGTCAAGACAGCTCAATTGGCAGCTATAAAAATTATGAATATTAACGAAGATGAAGAAGAAGAAATCAAGCTGGAGATTAATATGTTAAAAAAGGTTGGGCTTTAGTCGGAATTTTTTTATTCTGTGTAAGACTCGGTGCCGAAACTAGCTGTTTATCTATATTTCAATGATTTTTATTTATTTAATGGTTTGTGGTTCGCGAGATATTGTTTAAAAAGCAGGAGAGAGTGAGAGAGAATTCAGATTGCATAATGGATGTGGTGTCGTTGTATTCAACTGACCACTTCGTGCAAATATTTGATGGAAGAGTTTGTGTTGGCTGCTTTGACGAACGAGCAAAGTCAGCTAAACACGATTTTAAGGATTGTCTGAGAAAAGAGCGAATCTTAATGTTCATGTTCTTCTGTTCAATCACCTAGTTACTTTCAGTATTCCCATCATCGGAACATCGCCACGTACTACGGTGCTTTCATTAAGAAGCTACCTTCTTCCACCGGAAAACATGATCAGCTATGGCTCGTTATGGAGTTCTGTGGGAGTGGATCAGTCACAGATTTGGTGAAGAGTAGTAAAGGATCTTCGATAAAAGAAGAATGGATTGCTTATATTTGTAGGGAGATATTAAGGGTGAGCTCGTAATATTCAGAAACAAAATAATTCAATGTTCAGGGCTTGTACCATTTACATCAGAATAAAGTTATTCATCGTGACATTAAAGGACAGAACGTTCTGTTAACCGACAGTGCTGAAGTGAAGCTTGTAGATTTCGGAGTATCTGCTCAGCTCGACAAAACCGTTGGCAGGCGAAACACTTTTATTGGTACTCCTTATTGGTTAGTATTGCTGTTTGAAATCATTCTGAAATCTATTTTTCTAGGATGGCACCTGAAGTTATAGCTTGTGATGATAATGCCGATGCTAATTATGACTCGAGATCAGATTTGTGGTCTTTAGGTATCACATGCCTCGAAATGGCCGAGGGTCATCCTCCTCTCTGTGATATGCATCCCATGAGAGCTTTGTTTCTCATTCCTAGAAATCCCCCTCCTCGCTTAAAGCGAAGTGGGAAAAAATGGTCCAAAAAGTTTGAAAGCTTTATAGGTAATAATGATTTCTCACGATTATTTTACTTAAACAATGTTTCAGAGACTGTTCTTGTTAAAGATTATCATTTACGTCCATTCACTGATCAGTTATTACGACATCCCTTCATACGCGATCAGTTGCCGGAACGAAGTGTTCGCATGGCTATCAAGGAACACATTGATAGACATCGAAGACTGAACAAGAAAGGTAACACATTTCACCAAACTTTTCATTCTTACCATATTCTTAGATGAAACTGAGTATGAATATTCTGGTAGTGATGATGATGAGCCTAATTCCAAACCACCCGGACCTCATAGAAACGGTAAGCACGTGGGACGTTTCTCTTGAAATTTTGTTGTTCAGAAACAGAAACATCTTCCATGATCCCAATGGATAACACCTTGAGGAAAGGTTTCCAGAGGCTACAAGAAAATAACTTGGGTGCTTTTGAACAAGCTGGTGCGCAACAGGTTAAAAGAGTTTCCAATCATAATGTTTCGCAACGTCCCCCCAATGGAAGTCCCCACACTCCTGGATACAGGTTACCAACTCTTCAGTTTCGTTTTCTTAAATCAGTCGTTCTACAGATACGGCGCTGATGGTCGAAATCGTGAACAGGAGGTTAAACTTAGAGCTCAAGCAGCTGTTGGAAGACCATCTGATCATAGACAAGATAGGGATAGGCGACAACGACCATTGAGTCATCATCAGGTTTTTCTGCATAGATAACAAGTTTAATGGAAGTTTTCAGCATTCCCCCCAACAGGCTCATCCTGCCGCCCCCCATCTCGCGGACCTGGCAAATTATCATGATCGAAATAAACGGAGAAGTGAGAGAGAAAGAGACGAGAGGGAACGACGAGACAGGGACCGTAGCTCTGCTAGGGATCGAAATGGTCATGGTGTTATGCCTGTAGCTAGAGTTTCTGCTCATGTGGGTGCCTCCCCTCTCCGTAAAATGAGTGAACCTGTGCTACATCAACAACAGCCTAGACCTGAGGTCAGTTTCTGCCTTTGTGCCTTCAATCATTTTTTTTTCTTTAGGATCTTGATGCTCTTGCCTGTGAACTCACCCGTATGGGAGGGTTCTCTGCAGAAACTGGTAGTGTGTCTCCTCCTCCCCCAGCTCCCCCTCCACGCGATGCTTCAATTGGAAGCTCCATGGACTTTGAAGATGTAAATTAATGTTTTCTTAAAAATAGTTCATGTTGAATTTTCTAGGAACCTAGTAGTACTCTTCGGGGACCGAACAAGCCGCTACCTCCTACACCCTTAGAATGCTCCCCACATGACGTTGATGACGGCACATTACAGCATGTTAAAAAATCTGTTAATCGCCCTATGGTCAAAGCTGCTAGCTTGCCTGATGTAATTGAGTAATTTTCTCGAGATTCATTATTGTATATTTTCAGCAAGGAATCAATTCTGCTCCCGAATTCGGGCTCGGTGAGGATTCATCTGATAGTGACGATGAGGATGACGACATCAAACCTCGTGTTTCTGTTATTCATAATCCATTGCAAGGATCAGTTATTGTACGTTTCCCAATTCAAAAGTCTCATTAAGTTTCCGATTTAGGCCTCTTCCAATAGACCTAGTCAACTATCTATGCCGGAGGTTCTTCCCCGAACACCCGAGTCAAGAAGAATAAAAATGGAAATGGGACATAATGAAGATGATAACGAAGAGGTAATTTTTAAATTATTGATTAATATGGAAAGAGTTTCTAAACTTGGTTACTCAGATAACTTCTTTATTTGGAAGCTTTTACGTAAGTTAAAAATATATCGAAAGTGTTGTAAATTATGTTGTGATTCTGTTCCCTGGCTATCTTTAGTTCCTCTTTTGTTGAAATTTCCTTTCACTTCTTCACTACTATTTGTTACTTGATTTATGTTCCGTTTCCAGCTTCCTCAAAATGTTTCTGTATCATCTAACGGAGGATCAAAGCCTGCTCTCAATCAGCCGCTCTCGACACGTGATAGAGAGAAATCGTTCGTGGGATATTTCAGCCAATCTACCGCTCCAGTTGGGGGAACTGTAAATAGACCAGGAAGAGCTCAAGATAATAATCAAGTACAGGTATGTACCTGTTTCAAGTACTGTGTTAATTCATCTTCCGTACAGGTGAATGTGAACCCTAGCTCACAAAGTGGCCCACATATCGATAATGATGCTCCTGAAATCCGTAAATATAAGAAGAAGTTCAGTGGTGAAATACTATGTGCCGCCCTATGGGGAGTGAATCTTCTCATCGGCACAGATAGTGGACTCATGTTATTAGATCGAAGTGGACAAGGAAAAGGTAGAAATGCCTTTTATATCATCCATCAAGATTTCATTGTTTCAGTTTATCAATTAATAAGTAGACGTCGTTTCGAACAAATGACTGTGCTAGAAGGACAGAACATTCTTGTAACCATATCTGGAAGGAAACGGCGAATCCGAGTTTATTATTTAAGTTGGTTGAAGCAGAAAATTCTCAGAACTGAGGTACTACTAATTACTGATTTGACGCATTTTATATGGTATATAATGTAGGGTACTGCCGGAGGAATGCCTGCAGAGAAACGAAACGGATGGGTGAATGTGGGTGATCTACAAGGAGCTGTACATTTCAAAATTATTCGTTATGAACGCATAAAATTCTTAGTTGTTGGCCTGGAGTCAAGTATAGAGATTTACGCGTGGGCTCCTAAGCCTTACCACAAATTTATGAGTTTCAAGGTGAGTATACTCGTATTGAATTCTCCTTTAATAAGTTTGTTTCAGTCTTTTGGTTCACTTACTCACCAGCCTTTAATTGTTGATTTGACTGTTGAAGAAAATTCTCGCCTTAAAGTTTTATTTGGTTCTCATGAAGGTTTCCATGCAATTGATTTGGATTCTGCAGCTTTTTATGACATTTATACTCCTCCAAATGTAAGCGTTTTTATTAGTTCCAATAATACAATGAATATCTGATTTAGACTCAAAATAGTATGACGCCTCATTGCATAGTTGTCTTACCTAACACCAATGGCATGCAACTTCTTTTGTGCTACAATAGTAAGTCAATTTTGTTTTTGTTCGATTCACGGTGTTTTCTAATTTAGATGAAGGCGTGTACGTTAACTCATACGGGAAAATGTCTAAGAATGTAGTCCTACAATGGGGTGAGATGCCAAGTAGCGTAGGTATGGTTGAAACTCTTGTTTCGAAGTCTCAAACGGTGTTTTGCAGCTTATATCTCAACTGGTCAAATAATGGGTTGGGGAAATAAAGCGATCGAGATTCGTTCCGTTGATACAGGTCATTTGGATGGAGTGTTTATGCATAAGAAAGCTCAAAAGTTAAAGTTCCTGTGTGAACGAAACGATAAGGTGAGCAGTGTCATTTGCTATTTTTTTCTAACCCATCCATATTAAAGGTGTTTTTCTCTTCCGCTAAAGGTGGAGGATCATGTCAGATCTACTTCATGACTCTCAACAAACCCGGCCTTTCAAATTGGTAATTTCTTCTATCATGATGGTGCATACAAATGCAATATATTTATATATTTCATCTCAAAAAAAAGTGTGCTATTGTTATGTTATTCTCAAGTTCTATCAGCATTATTTGAACAATAAAATACAATTTTAACATCTTGCTCATGTCTACTTCTTTCCAAGTTGCTACTGCTGTCATCAACTTCTTTTATTCCTTCTTAAATCTACCTAGTTTTGAATCTATGCATGTCATGCGTTGTTTATTTTATTATGATCAGTCAACTAAGAGTCAATTGCCTATTTTCTTGCGAAAATCTTTTTCCTTTTAATATGTTTAATAATTTGTCGTTACTATACGGATTTCACTGATTAAGTAAATAATAAACGGTTCATCGGTACTTCCTTCATCTTATTCATATTGGGAGATGTACAGGCTCTTATTCTAAAGCATTGTTTGAGATTTGCTTGCGATGTAAAGATGAACCACTGTTTCCATACCACATATTGTTCATGTTACATTACAACATTGAAATCTTCTATCTCACGGTTCAAGCAGCATATTGAAACGTTAAGTATGTCTTCCGTATATATGAATCGCAGCAGCGAAGCTTTCTTATTCACAAGAACACCTCTTTCTGCAACGATCGGGATTATGTACTGGATGACCATTACTGATCCAGTTTTCACTGTCAAGCACATATACAAACAGAAGTTGAAACTACAAACGCGAAACAATCATCAAAGCGCATTGCAAAGAATGAATTAGCATAAATGGAGTGAAATCATTCCAATAAATCGGACAGCAGAGAGCGGTTGCATTCATAGCTGAAGAAGATCCACTCTTATAGGTATCCACTTTGTTCGAATAATAACGATACAGCGAAGGTTTCGATTGCTTCTTTGCCTATTTTTTTCTCAAAAGGGACTTCGGGCTGTGCTTTGGATACTTTGCTTTGTTTCCAAGAGATCATTGATACTACTGATCAGTTGAATAGTAAACGGTTCATCGGTATTTGCAAGATAATGGCACAATTGTTAATACATACATACAAATAATTTAATTGGCCGAATTTAGTTTAGAAAACGCTAAAACATTTTTGAAAAAATGAGAAGACTTGTGCCTGGATGATCCGTATGCTTGGGAAGGATGAGAGTTGTTATAAATATAAGTGACTTTGCCTAGAACTTAATCAAATCGATCAATTGAAATATTCTGTTTCGAAATAAACTACGTAAGTTAAGAACACAGAAGAAGAAGAAGAAATGAGCATCCAAAAGACATGTAGAAACAGAAAAATTAATATAAAGCAAATAAATTATTTGGGTAGAGGCATGGTGAGGTGAAGCTTCTCTGTATCCGATGAGAAGATGGGATGTACTTTGTAATGCTCAATAAGAGTTTTCATGTCCGGGAAATTTCGGGTACCAATCCTCAATTCTCCATTTACAGATTGAACTTTGAAATGTTTGTTCTTCTCAATTCCACGCATTGAAATGGACCAGTCTCCTGGCTGAACACAAAAAATTCCTTTCTTAATTTGATTGTGCATACCGTGCTTTCGCTGTCCCGCACTAAATATTCTCCTTGACGTCCACTCCTGAGCAGAGCATCGGCCTCATCTCTCGTTAAGCGTCCGAAATACCAAACTTCATTTTGAATGCCTCCACCACTACCATTTGTAGTTGCAGAAGGGGATTCGGATAAAACCTAAAATCAAAACAGCTTAGAACACTTTGTCGAAACTTCTTTACCTCTATGTAATTGCGGGGAACAAGACCTTCTTGTCCACGAGAGTTCTTAGCCATCCACCAATCGGGATCATGTACCGGATGTCCAACAATATCCAGTTTTTCACCTGAAGCACATTATTCAAATGCTAATAACGATTCACACTTCTGACGGTGAAGTTCAGAGTGTCATTTTGAAGAACAAATAGACACAGAGCAGTCGCTATGCCTTATAAACATTTCAAAACAGACATACCTTTTCGGAAAGACAGTTCCTCTTGAGCAGAAGCTTCAAAACCATATAAACCAACTACTCTCTGAAGTGAATACAGTTAGCATTATACTGATCTGAACAAGCAACCTCTAATGTTGTAGTCAACTTGGGAATCGTGGATGTGTATGACACATCGTTGATGGGTTTTTTGTTTTCCACAGTTCCATTTCCATTCGACATTGTCTTAGCGGCTTCCTGAACGATTACATGTTTTAAAAATCGAATAATTACCAGAAAAATACCTCTTCTACGTAATTTGAAGGAAACCAACCAGTAACTCCGTTTTTCTGAAAAGAGAAATAGGTCAGCAATTTTACAAAAAGTAAACTAACCTCTCCTTTCCACCAACCATCACTGCTCTTTTCAATGACATTTATAACTTCACCTCTTGTAAGGCCCAATTCATCTTCTATTTGAGGCTCATAAGTAAACTTAACAACGACACGACAACTCATAGCTGCGGACAACTAAAACGCATAAATAGTGGAAGCAATGATAAGGAACATGATTGAAGCATCTTGAATCGATTGCTTCGATCAATATCAGCATAATAAAAAGAAAAACACAAACCTTGTTGAAGCCTTGCCCACCGTTCGAGTTGAAGCTATTGTTTGTGGAAAAAACCGGCCGAGTATCAGGAGGCGAATTGAAAGCAGAAGGAACTTCCTGCAAAAGCGATAAATAGATCTCGATCTCAAATAAACTAAAAATCACAGGACAACAAAAGCTATATCGAGGCTCTCAATGGATTGATTTCTTACAAAAAGGCTCGACGAAAAAAAGCTTAAATTGTTTCAAAAGAGAATACAATAGAATACAAAAGCGTAAAGACAGTTCCGAAACCTTCTGAAACGTATGAGCTGAGCGGAGGAAGACACACAAAAAAAAGCAACATTTTTTTTGTTGAGAAGAGAAAAGAGCACGTTAGAGAGTAAAAGAAGTGCGGAAATCCGAAATGAATCATAGGAGTTGGTGTTAAAGATTCGACAGAAGCTTCATATCTTTCAACCTTCACAATACAACTCTTACGATAACAGAAATAAGAAAAACCTGCCTGATCAAGATTGTTAAAACTTACTAGTTCCGCTAGTAACTAAAAGAAAGAAGAAAAGTATGTAAAAGCGCACTATTGAACGAAATTGATTATACAAATGCCGCATGGAGCACGAAGTGCAGTCTATACGGTGATGTGAGCCAGTTTGCTTGGGAGGGCCGTTTGTAATGTTTGTTCAAAAGCCACATGATAACAGAGAGTGCTAGAACCTTTCTAACAGAAATTAGAAAGTCATGAACTGCGCTCGTGTGTTTCAAAACGACTTATGAAGAGTGCGATTAGGTGTTAAAGTGATTCATCACTTTTATCATTACGTACCGTTGAAAAGTCAGGAGCTCTTGGTTTCCCAATGCCTGTTATTCCTTTGATTGTCCCTTTAGCTTTATCCACTAACGATTCTCTTCGCACATAGTTGCTCGGCACGAACCCTACTTTGTTGTTTTCGTTTATGACCTAGACATATCGATTTCACGTGATTGGAAATAGAATAAGCTTACCTTCCACCAGTTTTTGCTATCATCAAGAAGCCTTAGTCTTTCATTCTTTTTGACGGTAAGTTCCTGTTCTTCTTGTGCTAAATAATCGTATTTCACGATTACATAGGCTTCTTCTGTCATATCTTGAACAAACACACTTTAACAGCCTATAAACAGACGTATCAGAGTTATACTTTTAATCTTAGAGATGATATTCAGAAAAAGGTGAAGAGAGTCAAGTTTGATAACCAAATTAGTTCTTGTAAATTCTACATGCGTTTACGTGAACATTGAACAAACAGATCGAAGATGGTTTTCAATTTGGGACTATCAACAGCTGTTCAAACATAGCACACGAAATATATCTTGAAGAACATAAATTTATACATGCTTTGATCTATAAAATAGGGAAAACATAATTTTTGAAGTTTTAAACAAAAGATTCTTTTTGCCACACTCGGAAGATGAGGTATGTGCCTTGGAAAACGATATATTGCGACCGACTATTGATTGGCGAGGATGGCTAGTTGCTGGCCGAAGGCCTCAGATTAGAACAAGGGTCTCTGGAGACAGAAACATATCTTTCAAATTTACGTGTTCATTCTTATAGTCTTTTTTTGATGGAATGTTAAGATTTTATATTCTGAATGAAAGCTAAGTACTATGAAGAATATGAAGTGGAACATCGTCATACGGACACCAGCGAGATTACACAAGTGTTATGAACGCGCTGAAGAAGTACTATGCTTATTAGAAGCGCATTTCCATTCATGAATGTTCTCATAAAGGGCACATGTACGAATGAACGAATACTATAAACTGATCTTTCAAAATTTTGACCTCAAAGTAGTTTTTAAAGTTTCGATAAGTACATTGAGAACGAATAAGTCAAAGTTTCCTATCGAAAATAATGACAAGCTCTCGAGCAATACTAACTTTCGCCTTTCGCTCAACTTTATGTATGGGAAAAGCTATTCGCCTTTTCTTTGACTCTCTCTGCTTTACTGCAATCTCGTTTTCTTCAGGACCAAGTCAAACCCCAGTGGCGCTCGGCAGCTATGAGAAGTTGCAAAGTGGACTAGAGGAAGATGGTCTATGGAAAAGCTTTCGGGTTGTGAAGAGATCAATGCGAGTCTGGGTGCGTCTATTAGAAACGGAAACAGGGAGGGGATTGTCCCCGTATTGGCGATAACAAGAAAAATAGAGAATTAGAGTTTTGCTTAGATTGAATAAATGTGGAAAGCGACCGTTCTCAACCTACATGAGCGTTAAATGAATGCAAAATGTATACTGACACGTGTTTCACGTGAAAACCGTGGGAATTGAGACTTTGTGGGAAAGAGCTTCAGTCGTTTCATCATATGAGAATAGGGAAGAAGGTAAAATGAAAACGAAGGACTCTCCCAAAGGACATTTAATTTCATTATGTGTGAATGGTTTAATGGCTTTTTATAAATAAATGAAGTTCACGGAGATATTCAGAGAGTTGTGATAAAGGGAGGGTACTATAGGAGAAGAGATCATCGATTTCAATGAAGAGAAGCAGGATGGGATAAGATGGGATTCCGAGTGAGAGGAAATAGTGACTGAAATGAATGAGGATGAAAGACATGAATGTCAGTCTTCATGACGTAAATGCTTTCAGTCAAAATGAAAAGTGATGAAGTATGGATGGGTATAACTGAAATTACGTCAATTACTAGATGAGTGAGTGGAAAACTGTTCGATAAAGTAGAAAAAGATTTATTTTGTTGGATGGCACACCTTGTTGGAGCTGACAAGAAGTGTGTCTCATCCATGGATTAGGGTAGAGAGTTGACGATCGGTGGATGACAATCAATCGTTAGGAGACAGCAATAACGCAATACATTTCTGTGATTAACACGTCAAACGAGGAAAATGAATGAAAAAACAAAACGAAATATATATTATGAAAAGAATAAAAACGTATTGACCGTATGTAATGGGGTCAGATGGTGTCACGTCTGCTAGATGCCCTGATAGTTAGTTGTAATCATAGGAAGCCTCGGAATATTCATATGCCAATATTATAAAATGAATCTAGTTAACGATGATGTTGATCAGCATTAACTTTCGTTCATTTCGTTCAAAATCAAAATATTCTGTAGACGTGTCTGTGTCTCCGGATGAATAGATCTTTTCATTCACACTGCAGGACATCGACGTTAGTGGTCGTTCCCGAACAGGAGAATTCTGAAGAAGGAAAAAAGATAAAAAGGAAGAGGAAGAAAAGGACGATATTGTTTGGTCCGCTTGTACAGCGTGTGTTACTAGCAGAACGCCTTCAATCAGTGGAAGTCCGGTTTCTTGTAAAATAGCATTTGGAGATGAAGGTGATGGAAGGTGGTGGTTTGCTTAGTTTGCTTTAGACATTTTCATATTTCAACAGTATTTTAATAACAAAGAGACTAATCCCACTTCACTCACTTTTTGCCTTTTCATCTCATCTCTCTCTCTCTCTCTCTCTTTCATCTCTTCGAATGTGTTTTTTAGCTTCATCTCAGAAATATCATGAAATTTCTTATTCGAAATGCTAGATCAGGATGAATTGGATGAAAGAATGCTTGATAATGGCTGTCACGGAAAGCTGAAGCTGTCTGAATATTTAGAACAGATTACACGATGAAAAGAAGAAGTTGACGTCCTATTTTTGGTTATTTGAAGCCGCAAATCAGATGCCCATTTAGGACAGAACATGACCTCTTATAGGAAGAAAGTCAGATATTGGAGAGGAAAGTACTGATTGTAGAGTGAGAAAAAGATGATAATCATTACGAAGGGAAATAAAAATGATAGAGAGAGAGAGAGAGAAAGAGAGAGATTAATAGGAAATTAAAGAGAGAAAGAGAAAAGACAAGGGAGGGGTATGAGCGGTGATTGGATTTGTTCTGACATGGCACGTAGGGGTTATAGTCATAAAGAGAGACTAGATCTTTAGCCAGATATTTCTCTTATTAATTGGAATCAGTTCGAGATGGATATATGAAATTCCATAAAATTGAAATGTTTCAAATAGATTTTGGAAAATTGGAAATTAGAAATGAACATAGAGAAACAAAAATTAAGTTCATCACTAAATGAGATTAAAATCAGCAAAAAGGGCAAAGTGATTGGTGCTTGCTTGAATTTCTATTAAAGTAAAATGTCTCAAACTCATGATGCATTGAATGAGATTGTCAAAAGTCAATAGAAACGGTAATGTTGACAGTGTGAATTCATATAATAACAATATTTATTTATAAAAAATAAATATATTTTGTGGTCAGTTGATAAAGAATGCCAAAGATCCTGGACATGATCATCACTACTTTACGTTTTCGTTTCTTCCTCCCCCCCCGTCCCATCTTCTTCCGAATGTCAATCAGCTTGTTCCTTATTCTATGAGAACAAAATATTAATTTAAGTTTCAAACATAACGAACATGTTTTTCGTTCTTTTCACTTTCAGTTTCGTGGAAAATTTTGCTTAAACTGGACTTTCGTTTGAAATTTATTTTTCAAACCGTTAAGCTGACATCTAGCTGCTTACAGTTCCGTCTTCTCCATTTAAACAAATTTTATATTTGAGCTTGAAATTAATTTAGAATTTTCAAATCTGATTTCAATCTTGATGAAGATGATCATTAGCATTTCTCTTAATTTTGTTCACCCCCTTTTATTTCTATGCCATCGTCATAGACTGCTCTTCTTCTCCCCTCTTACTCTCCATATGAACAGTGAGATGGAGAGAAGCAAGACAGAGTAAGTGATTAGTTGAAGAAACAGCAATTTCCATATAAAGGAAAAAAATAGACGAAAGTAGCTCGAAAACTAAAAAGAGCATAAAAGTCCAAAAGAGATAGAGATGCTAGTAGATGGTAAGACAAGCAATGGGGTGGGTGTGGGTCTAAGGAGCTAATTCATTTCTTCAATTCTTAGTCGTCTTCTCCTTCTTCTTCTTCTGCTTCTTCTTCTTCATCTCCAACATTGTCTTTTGGCATTCAGTAGTCAGATTCTTTTCCTTTTAACCTCCTTTCCTCCTATCTTCCATCAGATGTGCTCTTCAGATTCTCCGTTCATTGAACACCTTTTATGGAGTTGAGCCATTGAAGCAATCTCATCAACTCAAGAGTCTTCCTCCTGTTCTTCCATTTTGATATTCGCCTCTTCTTTTTTTCGACTTTTTATATAAATTTTTTGCAGCAGCAAAGCATTCACAGTCGTTTTTCCTTTTAATTTTCAATTAATTTGTGCAGTTTGTTGTCCTTTGGCACGTGCGCCCAAAGGAATTGTTGCAAATATAGTTTCCTTTGTTATAAATATCTGTTTGACTTCATTGACATACATCTCATGTTGTTTTAAGAGGAAGCAAAACATCTTCGTCGTTTCTCTCCTCCAACAGTCTTCACGTAGCACGTGAAGTTTTCATTTCCAACTTTGAGCTTATTGAGATCGGTCGGTGATCTGAAGTCTATTCATTCAATCTCAATCATAATCATTGCAGCAAATAAATGGTGTCAAAGATATTCTTATGAGACATCTCTGGGTAGCTAGAAGCATGCTCATCAAGATTCTAATCAATTTTCTCTATATTTTCAGAATTTTTACAAAGTATTACTATCTCGACACTTGTTGGTAACGAATACAGCTACAAGTTGTGCTCAAATAGGTGTTGCTGATGTTTTACAACAATGTATAAACGGTGATATGAAGGTAAATGGATGGGATTGGAGAAGAACAGGTTTGAAAATGATTTTTTTCTTATTTATATCATAATATAGTTAAAAATAACAAAATAACATCAATTTCGATAATTAATTCGGAATAAAGCAATCAAAAATGACGTTGCTTTAACACCCCCACCAGCATTATGTGTCTCTTTGAGAGCTTTTTAAGCAATTAGAAAGATTAGAACATGCAATGTGTCCACTGGGAAATTAAGGAAAAGCTTCTTCTTTTATTCTTCTTCTCAGCTTTTTTTGAGGAGAAGAAAAAAAAAACAATTTTTAAGTAGTTTCTAAGGCACGTCATGCGATATCTTCATTTGAGAGTCGAAAAAGAGAAAAAAGAAAAGCAACATTGCTTTCATCTTAATCTTAATCACAACCATAAATGAGATTGGGCACTCACAAATCATACATTTTGCTCTTTTCAGTTCGTATGTCAGCTGTTGGCCTAGTGGTGGCTCCCATGCTTCACGGCTTCTATCGGGTTCTTGATTCTCGTCGATTTCGTGGCTCTTATAACATCGTTGTTATGAAGAAATTATTTTGGGATACATCCTTCATTCCTATCTTTTCTTGTACTTTTTTTGTTGGTAAACGATGATAACGTTCAGAATTTGAAACATCTAAAGCCTATTGATTGCAGTCGCGGGTCTCATAGAAGGTAATGGATATCGTAGAGCGTTTTATGAATATCACGATAAGATGTGGCATATATGGAAGGTATTCAAAGTGATCATTCAATCATATCATTCGTACTATTCATTTCAGGTAGATTTTGCTATTTGGCCTCCAGCTCAGCTTCTTAATTTCTATTTTTTGCCCAATTCGATTCGAGTCATATACGTGAATGTAGTTAGTCTCATCTATAACTGCATGCTATCCTTCATCAAGCACAATGATGTCCATGTGATAGAAAAGAAAATATAAATTCTTCAAATATATCTTTATATTTGTCATGATTTTTTTTATTTTATTATACACATTATCCCAGCAACTACTTTAAAGGACGTTCATTGAAGATACTTTTACGTAACCGTCCTTAGACGTCTATTAGAGTTTGAGGAGGATGAGGTTCTTGAAACATATGAATTGAGTCATCCAACCGGTATTTTTATAGAGTCAGTTAGCCTTCTACTTCTTATTTTTTCCATCGTAATTCGACTTACTGTTCTTTACCATTTTTGGCTTTTATTCTCCTTTTCCGGATAGGCTTCTGAACATAACTGGCAAAGCTGGATTTTACGCTGTTCAAGGCTGTTGTCTGGGGGTGTTGATTTCCATTCAAAAAGAAGTAGTAAAGCCATAAGATGTTCAGAAGAAAAAACAAGAAAATATCAGAAGGAGGAAGAGAGAAAGAGGAAAAGCATAGTGTAGAGAGAGGGAGGAAGAGAGCGATGAAGTAAAGGTGAAGGCAATGACTCACCTTAAAAATGGGAATACAGAGAGACTGTAAGAGACATCAAAAGAATGAGAGAGATGTGAGAAAGAGAAGAGAAAGAAATGAAAAAAGACATGAAGTTCAACAGAATGGGTTGAATCTGCTGAGTTTTTGCATTTTGCGCACATTTCTTCGTGTTTTCATCGTTTCTCAAATAAAAATTGCTATTTTTATATAATTGTTTCGAAAATAGTATGATATCGACATTAATTTTTGTTAAATACGCATGTACATCTGAGTTGTGGTGATGAAGGAAAATCCGTTACAAGGGCAGACAGTCTCTGCCATATCCGGATTTCGAATGAATTCTGCCTCATTCTCCCCCCCCCCTCTCTCTCTCTTCCTCTCTTCTTCATATCCCCTCTACCCAACATCCATAGTAGCGTAGCCAGTAATTATCACAATTTGACTGTTTTTGCATTTTGTGTCACTTTATTCAAATTCCAAATACTTTCCACAGTGAAAAAGAAAACTTCGTTTTCCGTTTGAAAGTATTGGATGGAAGTTTCAACACAGCACATGTACACAGACACATATAGTTACTTTGAGTTTGAATTCATTATGATGATGATTAACATGTATTTAAGTGATTATCCTCTTTTAATTCCTCAACCTAAATATTACCTGTACCTCCTCTTTCATTTTTACAATTCTAAGGTCATTATATGGTCATTTGAGCTATATTTTTCCATTTTTAATATTAGACATGAACTCGTCAATGTTTGATGGCTTAAAAGATGAAACTGTCTGGATTTCGGACTTCATCCTCACTTCAACGAAGCACAACAGGTGCAAGCTCTTCAGAGCTTTTTTTTTTCTCAAACTTTTCCTTTTTTTTCAGCACTCACTGGGATTTAGTTTCTTATTTATTTGGAGTAAACGATTCATATGGATCGATTGCTTTATATGTCGTTTATGGTTTGAGTATCATCATCAACTCGTCCTTACTTTACTCCATACATCGTCAACCATATCGTAAACGTAGTATGAAGTCAGAATCGCAACAAGCATCAATCCATCTAAACTAATAGATGTTTCAGAGTCAAATTACTTGTAGCCACCTTGTTAACAACATTATTAGTTTGGTCATTCCTCTTTACAGCTATTCTTACCTATTTACAAATCTTTGACCCAAATTCGACTATCGATGTGAGTCCATTTCTTAACTCAAATAAACAAACATAAAAGCCATTAGTTCAGGAAAGAAAAAATTCTTTTTTTTATTCCTTCTATAGCGTTTTTTTGAGGCAAAACATTCGGAAGTGCGAATCGAATTCACAATTACCAAGGACTGGCCATTGATTGAAGGATTATGGACGTTGTTGCTTCATCAGATGATCAACAACCTTCTATCGGTCATATCCCTCCTTCTACTAACTATAGCATTCGATCGATACCTTAACCTCTTTCATGTGAGCTCCAACTCTCTCTCTCTCTCTTCATCCATATAGAGTATGACATCTTTAATTACAGAACTATTCACCATTCATCGATAACATTTTTGTGAAAATATGTTTGGTGGTCTTTCCATTCATTCTCACATGGACTGTACTCGATTACAACACGATTACCTTCGTTCTCACTCCAGAAATTGCTTTATTCTGCAGGTTTTTCTTCACTTAGTTAATGAAGAAGGAACACTTTATTTCTCCGTTTAAGGCTATTTTTACTGCTCTGCCCATCGTTCCTTAACTTCCTATTCAGTCTAATCAGTTGTATTCGTCCATTATGTGCAGCTTCAACGGCTGTGTTCGAATCTCGAATGACGTCATCACTTAGCAGGTTTCGTATCATTATCTTTAATTAAATTCAAAGAAATGGAACAGATTTTTCGTAACAAAATGTTAGAAAATTACTGAAGAAATTGTTGAAAAAGAAAGAGAAAGAAGTTGTTTGAAGACTTTTCATCATTTCAGGGGATTACCTCTTCTGGTATTGTTCCAGTCTTGTCTTGATATATTCTCAAGAACATCTCTATTTGTGTTATTGTTAGAAACGAATTTCGAGTTCGTCATTGTAACCGGTAGCCAGTCGGGAGATCAGGTGTTATCCGAAGTATTGGAATGGTCACAATGGGTAAGCCATAACGAGAGAGAGAGAGAGAGAGAGAGAGAGAGAGAGAGAGAGAGATAGAAGGAGAAAATGGGAGACAGAGAGAGGAAGTGAACAGTTCTTACAATTTACAAATCAGACGTTTACTTCTTTCCAACGTGAGTCAAGCTTTGCCACGTCATATTCTCGAGATTTATACTAATTAGTCATAGGACAGTGTGTGTGACCAACTTATGCAAATTTCACGTTTCAGAGTTCATTTTGGTTGATTCATACAATGCCATTGTATTTCCCATTGCTATTGTTACTATTTGTAAGACATTATAGAATATTGGTGAGTTTCTAATCTTTCCTTCTACGAATAATTAATGTAATTTTGAAGTTATCTAACTGGTTAGGCAGAATCTGGTCTGTTCTATGTTGTTCTCGTGATGATTATGTGGATTATAACACGGAAACAATGAGAACCATCATGGCTCAACGACAGAAATATAATCATATGATGTCTTCAATTCATTAACGACTCATCCTTTCGTTCGCTTCTTCTAAGTCTACTACGTATGAACAACTACATATATGGTATTACTTCCTTGGAACAACATCCTTGAACAAGAAAAACATGAACTCAACTGAGCAAGAAGCTCTCTCCAACTGCGTGACAAAGATTACAAGTAGTATAGCCTTCACCATATCTTCCTCTTAGCGGAATTGCACACATTCACTTTCTATCTTTCTCTGATGACTCTGTTCATGTGATTCAGATAGAACCAAATAGAACCAAATATCTCCTGTAGAATGTAAAAGATTACTTAGATGCATACTGTGATTAGTAGAATTAAAATTTCTTAACTTTTTCATTGTTTGACATGAACATGTACACAACGGAAATACAACTGACGAAAAACAAGGAAGAACTGAGTAGAAGTGAAGACAGGAAAGGATTATTCACTGGGAAAATTCTCGGATGAAACATAAGCTCACGGAGATTATAACCGTACTCTTAATCAGTTGGTACTTAGGATATCCGTTGATGAAGCTCAACCAGCGATTGAACCGAAGATGCTTTGGTTTCAAGAGTTCTACTCATGAACGTAGAAACTTGACTGAATGAGAACTACCTTAGCAGGCTCAAGAACACAACCTTCCCCCCTAGTGAGGTATTTCCGATTCTCTCTTAGATGAACTTCCTTAGCAAGTGTACAGATGATTGAAAAATAGATTTATTCTTTTTAACAACATTTGACAAGTAGATTTAAAGCTAAGTAAAAGCCAGAAAATTCACAAAACGTTCATTATGGGATATCGAAAGACGAGCATTCTGAATGATTCTTTGAATTATAAAGAAGAAAAGAAACATGGAGATCACAAAGAAAGTCTTTTAAAAAGTTTTTTTCTGTCGAATTTTCGTTTCAAATGTTATATGAGGAAGAAGATGTGAATACCCTTAATCGATAATAATTTGATTTCAATACTAAGATGTTTGTTAGTTTGATTTTGATAAATGGAATGATACCTACGTTATTCAAACTTCAAGAAGAAGAAGAAGAAGAAGAAGAAGAAGTAAAGGGAAGATTCAGATGAGGTACCATATAAAGGGTCAGAACGATGATGAATGACATCATTTCTTCAGAGGCACGTGGTTACAAATTATATAAAATAATATATTTTTGTTACAATGAAATAATGACAACAAAAAGAAAAAAAAACAAATGATATTTTAGGGGAATTCGAATGAAAACATCAGACTTGAATCTCTTCTAATGGAGTTTGTGATGATACTAAGCTATTCCCTCTAGAAGATGATTGCACAGCTGATAATGCTGCTCGTCCATGACGTGGGCAGGTTGGAGATACTCCACTTCGTATTCCTGCTGATGACGTTTTGTGAGATGAAGCAAGTAGAGGCTCCTGAAGCTAAAAAGATTACAAGTTGAAGATAACATTCCCTCAGGGGTGCAAGCATGTATGACAGTTCTTTCTACATGCAAGTATGAAAGATATAATGCAATTGAGTTTCTAATTCAATTTTGTTGCAGAAAGAACTATCGGATAGAGTGCTTGTGCATTCTTGACATTGGACGTTTCAACAAAAAAAAATTAAATATTATTTTGTTAAAATATAAAAAGCAGAAGACAAAGCACAAAGGATAGAGAGAGCAACGAAACACATAGAGATAGAGAGAAAGAGAGAAAGAAAGAAAAAGACAACTGAAAAGACATAAAGATGCTCAGAAGACATCTTGTTACTCACACATTTTGCTTTTTCTCTTGTTTTTTTTTTGAATAAAAAAAAATGTCATGCACATGCCTGTTCCTGGAAAGAATGACGAGGAAGACTTCCACCACAAACAGAAGATGATAACGGTTGATTTGTCGGCATCACACACGATGATGTTGTTGTGTTCGTTTGTTGGTTCGTCAAGTATAACGAACGATCGAACATATCCTCATGAAGAGAATTCAATGGTTGTTGCGATGATGCCATCTGTGCTCCAGAATGCATCAGAGGTGGTGGAGGTGGTGGCATCAACGATAACTGAATATTTCGTTAAAACAAATAATTTAAAAAAAACAGAAAAAAAATATAATTAAGGATGTAAAGGAACTGTTAGTGATTAGTTCGGTGCCAAAGGTGTTCAAACTAAAAGAGAAACTATCGTAGGTAAGTATTTAGTTTTCATTTCAATTGGTAAGCTCGACGAAGAGGTTTTGCTCTCTGAAGCAATAAATGCTGGAGAGACAAGAAAACTTACAGGTGAATTTAGATTGTTGTAGGGATCAGGCACTGCTGCATGATTAGAAGCATACGTCTGATATTGTAATTGCAGCTTCTTCTTTGATTTCTTTGTTTTATCACACTGTTGAAAGATTGCTTATGAAATGGATGATGGAGATAGAACTTACTTGACGATATAATCCCATAAATATACAGATATTTAATATTAATAAGCCACATCCGATAGCTATTGTAACGGAGAGCATAGTGCTGTAGTTCCCTTGATGTACCTGACCTTGTTTAGAGTTTCCTGAGGAAGCTGAAGCTGGTTTAGCTGTAACCACAGTATTATAATCTCGAAAGATTATCAGAAGACTTACGTGTTGTTATCTTTTTTATTTTCTCGGGAGGTGGTGAGGGTGGCATAGGTGGAGGTGGGAATGGATCATTGCGGAATGAAGAGAATGATCGAACATTACCAAAAAAAGTGTCTCGTTTCATGTGATTTGGCAAAAAATGATGTTCCTATAAAACATATGTTAGAAGAGAATATTGGATATGATCCATCTGATTGAATTGATTTGAAAACAATCTGTTTACCTCTGGGACAGTCGATCCTTCTTGTCCAGATAGATGGAGTTGAGGAACTAACCCTGTCCAAAAGCCTACTTGAGCATTACGATAATAATTTTTAACTTTTGGTCGATCAGCTGTAAGAAAAAAAAATTAAATTTCTCTCAAGAGCACGAAATAGCTTCAAACTCACTTATTTCTAAATAAGCCTCTCTGCTTTTTTCATCAAATTGAGGCCAAGCCGTTGAATGGAAAGTATCACCTAAAGCGAATGAGCGTGGCATGAGCAATGGCTTAGTTGGATCGCTGAAAGATGATTTCAAATTAATTTTTGTCAGCATCATGTTTTGTATACCCGGATTTAACGAAATTTCCAATATAATGCATCATTACACGAGACATTCCCTTATCTTCAGCGTTGAAGCCGGAGTAAAGCTGAAACGGTTCTTGTTGTAGAGTTTCCGATGCATCTACGAACCTTTTCGTCTTTGTCTCCACGATTCAATGGATATCCAAGGATGTAAGCTATATGATCACCAGATAATGAACCACGAATCCCACTGTTCGGCTGCTCATTCAACCAGCTACGCGTTTCATGTCCAAAATGAAACCTTTAAAAGTAACAAAATATTATTTTCATTGAAGATTATAAATGAATTTTACATGAATGTATTAGCTTCTTTGCGCGTTTCATCTGATGAATGCATTCGTAAGGTTTCTATCAACGGAGATGTGAAAAGGACATCGCCCAATGCAGCCAAAACACCATTCCTCAACGACTTCGGATGATCCTTCAATAGTTGCCATAAATGGAACCTTCTACATCTATCTTATGTTTTTCAAAATGAATAGAACACACACAATGTTGACAGTCTGCTTTTATGCTAATTTCCTTCATTTGACGGAATATGAAAATGACGTCTTTCACGTGCCGTACATATCTCACGTCATTATTCATTCGTTGTGTGTGCAAACGTTAGAACGGTTGTTTTCAAGGTAAGGTTTGTTTTGTTTCATCCTTTCATTTCACATTCATTCTTTCTCTTGTCTGAAGCAATTTACCCGAGGATTATTCCAATCAGTGTATTCGTTATTGATGGCAGCGAGGATCTCTGATCTATGGAATTCGTATAAATTACGAACTAGCGTTCTAAAAAAGGAAATTTTCATTAGGGGATTCAACACATATACAAACCTGAAGATTTTTTCTCGATTCTCTTTGCTTATTCCTTGTAATAAATAATCATTTGATAACATATGATGAGCTGGATTCGATGTCATTCCCACAAGCAAGTCAATCTCCCGGAAAAGAGAACCAAATTGAGCAGAAAATGAAACACGTGGCTTGTTTGGTATCAACTGAATAACAAAATGCAAACAGGAAGTTTAGATTTAGCAAACCTGTCCGTCTACGATTGGTGCAAATGCTGAAAGGAATGATGGCACAGTAATCTTCTGAACAGCTCTCGTAACATTGTCGGATGAATGATCCTGCATGCAACGCAGAATATTGTCAACGCCTTCATTGAATGTTGATGACCGATTCATGGAGACACACTGTAATGATTAAAATAAGGCATGCAATGATGCATTGTACGTACCCCCAAGTTCTCAGCCAACTGCATGAAGTATGGTTGAGGATTATGACATAGAGCCCAAGGTGATAAGGCTGTTCCATCCAAAAGTATAGCTCTACGGAATAGTCTTCGGCCAGGTTGAGTTAGAGGAGATGACATAAGTAATGAAACTAATGATGCTCCAGAACCCCATCCCATAAGACTAACAGCTTTTGGATCTCCACCAAAGGAAGGCAAGATGACATTAAGCATAGTTAAAGCTGATACAAGATCAGATATACCACTATTACCAGTGCATGAGGATGATTCGCAACGACCCAAGAATCCTTCAAAGTACAATTATAATCAATCATATTGAATGGTATCCGTTACCAAAAACTCCCAAACGATAATTTAAAGTAACAACAATTATCTGAGAATGAGCTGCCAATATGCTGGCATTATAAGGATTTCCAGCATTCCACCCATAATCATCTCCATGCACAATGACCATAACGGGTAATGGACTATCACGTTGAGATATTTCTAAAGAAAAGTATTATTTTCCCTTTCGAACTTCTATTCAATTTTTTTGTCAAACAAAAGAAATTGAAGAATTAGTAGTTGTTTACAGTCAGTTCATAAGTTCGACGAAAAGCTTCAACTCGGTTTTTTGCGCGCTGCTGATTTCTTACTTAAGAGTCTCCTCAACTCATAGAGAATTACTGAGAAGTTACAAACCCCTCTACTCCATTTCTTGTCTTCCGCCTCTCTCTCTGTATCTCGTTTCATCTCTCATCACATCTCCACTATCTCACTTACTTTAAGGACGAAAAAGAAAATAGCCAATTTACCTAAACGTTCAGGAACAAACAAATTCATTGTCAAACAATCTTCTGACTGTTCTTTTAATTTCGGTAATAATCTGTGAACATGATCGAATCGTTGTGCTGATGTCGTTTGAAAAGCTCTGCAACAAGCATAGATATTGTGTTAAGTGGATAGGAGATCAGACCTTGTTTCACTAAGTTCGGGTAATTGAGTTTGAAGGCAAACAGGGGATAACTTCTTTGCTTCTTTTGGCATATGAGTCCATTTAGCAGCTGATATTGCCATATTGAACCGGAACTGAAAAAAAATGTTTTCTTTGTTTTCTTTTTTTGTCTGCTTTTTCTAATTTAGATCTTGTTGTTGGTGTGAGTGAGTATGAGAAATAGATATGACCTGTCCATTGGGTGCCACTCCATATGGTATTCCAAGATATTGAGCAACGGGAGGAAGATCATCTGCATTAGGTGATATCAGTTCACCTCTTACAACACCCCATGATGTGCTGACGGAACGAGTTTCTCCACTTCTATAGAATAATATTTTCTTTTTTAAAGAATAGAAAGGAAGAAGAAAAGAATGAAAGGAGAAAAGGATTTACCTGGATTTGGAGACACAAAGTGCCAGACTGATTGCAAGAAAAGCCAGTAATCTATGGCTCATCATTGTATTTCTACGTCATAGAGAAGACTACAAAAAGCAAATAATTACCAGAAATACATCTACATATAGTTAAAAGGAGAAGATTATAAGTAAGTGAGAAGAAGAAGATGATGATGACGACCAAGAAGATGACGAAGATGACTATTTCAGTTAAGAGAGAGAAATGAAGGCAAAAAGAAAAGAGGAATAAGAGAAGCTTTATTTTCCTCACATTGTCAACACACATTTTAGTTGTACAAAGGAATAATACAGCTGAAAGTTAAAATGAGAACTCTCTAGGGAAAAGTTGTACGTTTTCTTCATTCTGTTACCATTCTCTCTCTCTCTCTCGTAAGTTTTTTTTTGTCTGCTCATTAGAAAAGTTCTCGCGTATAGATATGAGTAAAGCATTTGCGTGTCTTTGTAGTTGAGCTTAAAAGGTCATAAGGTTGATGCAACTAACTCAATAGACTGATTGAGAGAAGCAACCAAAGTGTGACGGAAGTCAACGAGAATCTTGTGGTTGGCAATTCAACGGCCAAATGCAATTGTGCATACACGCTCATCTACACACATGTAGACGCATGCACAACAGTGACCATTGTCCAGTCGTTATAGTATGTGATAGTATAGTATGAATGTGGTAAGCAGCAATGATAACAAGGCAAATGTATAAATGAGCTAAATGCTGTTTCAAAGAAACTTCTCAGACCAACAGAGAGATTTACATTGAAAAATATCAAATTTCCTTCATTTTTCGTCGCTTTGAAGATCTTTTTCATTGTTAAAGAGGCTTCAAGAGACTTCAATTCAAAATGGCGTTTCTCTTACAGAGGAGAAAGAGAGAGAAGAAAAAAAAAAGAAAAAGTAAAGAAATTCCATTTTTTTTTCAAAAACTTTTTAATTAAAAAACTTGGCAGGCAGACAAAAAAGTCGAAGAAATGTTTTAATTAGCTTCTTCACATACGGCACATGAAGAAACAGAGAAGAAAATAATTTCTTTTTTTTTTTTATTATTTTCTCTTTGTTTCCACAAAATTTGAACAAAAAAAAATGAAGAGAAAATGAAGGACGAGACGAAGACGAAAAAGCAAAAGAGCCAGAAGGAAGAAGAAAGAGGGAGGAACAACACAATAACCGAGGAGGAGAAGCCAACAACGAATGAGGAGGCTGACTCTTTATTAGGTCGAAGACTGGATAATATACATAAATGAATAAACAAATATTGATAAGGAAAGTTTCTTTTTTTTTTCTTTTTCCTCTTATGCAACAAGCTTCATTATGGGACGTTTGACAGCAAAAGTTGAGTCAAATCCCCTGAGGCAATTTATGGAAATTCTCAATGATTCGTCTAAACACATGTTACTTTTAAAGAAAGAACAGCATTGAACGTTGTTCATCTCCTTATTATGCTTGAACTTTCCACAAGACCCCCCCCCTCCCTCATAGATCTAAAAATATACACAGAGCATATGGCATGAAGGAGTAGTAACACATCTGATACAGACAGCTTACATGAAAAATCAGATGTAACATAAGTTGTAGTGAGCTTGAGCTTAAAGATTAGAACAAAATATTTTTATAGCAGAGATTTACTCGATTACATCAATCCCATCACATGTGTCTGAACTTTCTAGTCATGTCATCATCAGATCTATGAAGAGAAATGAATAGAAAGCTTGAAAGAATCTGAACGTCACATGCACTACGATGTAGCAAAATAGCGTAATATTGCTAATTTCATGATGTTTATTCATTATATACAAGTATAATAATAGTTTGAAGAAAGAAAAGCTTGATAATGAGATGAGAAGGTTGTGGGATCGGTAAAGCAAGGAGATAGAGAGAGAGAGAGATGGAGAGTTAACTGTCGGAGAAGAAGAGAATTGAGAGAGAAAGAGAAAAAAAACACAAAATTGAAAAGGAATGCTCTAAATGAAGGACATAATGTGTTTGTATCCTCATTTCATCCAAATACGGACGAAAATCGAACTAAGGCGATGATGAAGAACACATTAAGCAACTGTACTCAAGGGAATCGTATGAAAAGGAAAAGACACAAGTAAAGATAGAATTAGAGGCAAATTTCTTCTCAACATACCGGCTTTCTCTTTCTTCTTTTTTCTTCTTCATTCTCATTCAGAATTAGATAGTTGTGAAGAATATTGATATTCACAAGGAAACATGCCAATTGCCAGCTTTACTAATGATCCTTAGGGAATGAAATGTCGGTAAAGCTTCAACATATCTCACATACTAATCGAAAACGTTAGATTTCGTAAGAAAATGAAAATAAACACACATAGACATATGGAAAGACACATAGAAAGAGAGAGAGAGAGAGACTGATGGCAAGCACCAAAAAAAAATAATTTTGTTTCTCCTTCAACATCCAGGTGCACCTACTACAAGCTCGAAACTTTTGAGAGCAAAACAGCAACCGTTCTCTACGTGTGCAAACAGCCAGAATAATTTGAATGACGTTTGAAATAGCGTTTCACGTAGTAATTGAGCAGTCATTTGAACTTCACGTGATACTTCACGTAGATCGGTAAGTATATGAGGGAGGGTGGGGGAATCTCACGTGAAAATAAAATCACACGTAACATATGTGAGAAGAGAGAGGGAGGGAGAAAGAGAGTGAGAGAAGAAGAAGATGAAGATGAGATAAGGAATGACAGAGAACGGAAAATAGATTTTTGAGTATTTGTACTCTTCATTCATGAAATTAAAGATTATTATTATTATTTATACTTAAATTAACTAAAAAAACATATAGTTAAGTGCTGTGCTTTGATAGTTTCTCGTCGTCTTCAACCAGGAGAAAAGAGAAAAGAAAACACAATCGCATTCAAGATGTTCATGGATGAAGCCGATAAAAATAGAAAATAATAAGACAATGTTATATAGGCAGAAGCTCCAAAGTATAAGATAATCTCCAACTTTCACATATTTTCTCAACGACAATCAAATATAAAAAAAGGTTTTTCTCTCTTTCTCTGCTTCTTTCTCCCTCTCTCTCTCTCTGCATCTCTTCATCTCTCACATACCTTTGCACTCTATCTCTTTTCACTCTTTTGCATTCTTTTAAACAAAAAAAAAACGTGTCAACTTGTATTAAAATACATTTTTCAAGTTCGTCTTAGGTTGAAACAAGCCTTTTTCAGAAGTGCTTTGACTAAGATTAGCGTTTGAATGGCTCCCGTCCAGTCACCACGACGGCTTTCAAAGCCGACCTAATCACATTTGGAAGTTGGACCGCGTCTTAACCTCGACGATGCTGCAATTTTATTTTATTTCTTTTTATGTTTTTTTTTCTTTTCATCTCTCTCTCTAGATATCTCATACTGCTTCTCTATCTTCTGATGCTCATCATCTGACAAAACGCTCTGAAGATGATTTGGAAAAAAACTGGCGAAATTACAAAATTTGTTTTAAATTTGCAGCAAAAGGAAAGAGAGCGATAGAGCTGTAGAGAGAGAGGCTGAGAGTAAGCAGGGAGTCGGAAGGGGGAGGAAGAAATCAGCTTTTTTAGAGAAAAGTTGAAAACAAAAAAGTTGAGAATGCACTTTCCAATTTCTTCAGAAGCTGCTTCTGTACTTTTATTGCCTTTTTTAGTATTTGAAAAGCTTAATGCTGATAGATAGAGGCAGTTATATCCTCAGTTAATTGGTCAAATCTCAGCTTTTCGGGACAAAAAAATGAAATGATAGATAAGCTTATTGGAATGTTCAAAGCTTAGAACTATCTAATGGTAGAGCTACTTCCGATCAAGATGGGCAACAATCCATCTTTGATAGATGCACATGGGTTTCGAAGATAATTCGGGACGGAAAACGTTTTCATAATGTTTATTCTGAGCAACTTTCCCATTCTGATTTACGAAAGTCATAATAAATTTCGGGTGGAAAACTCCTCTAACGCTTGAAGATTGGGAGAAGGAAGAAGGATTATAGAGGGAAACTTGGACACATAGAGAGAAAGAGAGAGAGAGAGGGATTGAGAGATAGAGAGAAGTCAAAAGGTTAGATAGAAAGATATAAGCAGCTCCAATGTGTTTTGTTCCATATTTGTCAAAAGTTGGCTTTCCTCGTCAACAACATGTCTATTTTTCTGTCAACGGTTTTGGCTGAAGGACGTTGGTCCTTCAGATGACAAGAATATCCGGGTGTTGACGAATGCGTTTGTTGGTCATTTTCGTGTTTGTTTATAGAAATATGGAGGAAACAATTTGTTTATTAAATACATGAAGCTCAGAAAAAATAGAGAGTTATCTGCGTGTGTGTGAGTGTGTGAGTATGAGTGTGCGAAGAAAAAAACATGAAAAATAGAAAATGGGGGTGGTGATACATTGAATTTTGCGACGGATGAAGTGCGAGTAGAAGACGATGAGAGAGGATGTGAATGTCCCAAAGGATTTCAAAGGAAGATGCGAAAAAAAAAGTAAAGAGCAGAAGAGAGATGTAGAGAAAAAAAATGGTGGTGGATTCGGATAAAGAGAGATTGAGATAGAGGCGACGGAGAGGGTAAGCTAGATGGCTGTAGCCATATGATGAACAAGCTGATGATGATATCAGATCAGAAAGAATGAAAGATAGATAGAAGCATTCAAAAAGTGTTCGTTTTAAAAGAAAGAAAGGATAATGAGAGAGAGAGTGTTTTGACCAGAATTCACTTATTTATCTCTGAGAAAGAAAGAAAAAAGAGCTGAAGCATTTTTGGTTATTAGCCCCAAGAGCCAATTATATCATAATAATCATCTCAAGAGGGACAACCTTTGCTTCTCGTTTTTTTTTTTTCAAAAAGTAAATGCGTTTAGCTCAAAACATCAATTGCTAGCATGCACGAGTGTAGTAGTGTATCAGCTTGACGAAGTATAAATATTCACAAAAAATAAATTAAATTTTCAAAACGAACACAAGCCAGGTGATAGCTGAAGGCAGAAAGAAGGGCACACACGACGACGTTGAAACGAAGAAGAAGAAAAAGATTTTTCAACTCTGAACTTCAATCTTCTCATCGTATTTCCAATTCTGATGATCAAAATATTTTTTGGGAGAAAACAAGGATAAACTTGCGAACGAATGCGAATTTGGTGGTTGAAAGCAAAAAAAAAAATCGGGAAGGTGTCAGAGGTCGGAGGAAAAAAAACTTCCGGCAATATGGGCATAAGGTGTTTGACGAGCTTATTGCAAGAAAATCTTTGAAATGACTCTCAAATCAGCAATGAGAACGAGAGAAGAACAGTGTGAGAGAGAAAAGGAGAGAGGAAAAGAGGGAGAGAGAGAGACGACTGAATATATAATTACTTTCTTCTATTTTAGCTTCGTAAATTCCTTGTAAGCTCATCCAAAGGAAAAGCCAATTAAGAAATTATTGAAATGGACTAAGAAGAAGGGAAAGCCTGGCTTATTCATATGAAAAAGTTTCCAACATATTTTCCTGAAATTGTATTAAACAAAATAAAAATTGAAAAATAACTTTTTTCATTGAAATGTGATGGAAGGGGGGGGGGGGGGGGGGGGGGGGGGGGGGGGGGGGGGGGTGAGAAGAGGTGGCTGGTGGACAATTCGAAGATGGAGAGCTTCATGGTGTAAGACATTAAAACTAATGGTAGTTGGAAGAAAATAATTCAAAGAAGTTATGACGCATTATAGTCTTGAAATCGCAATGAAGTATTACACAGACAGACCGACAGGATGCTCGTGGAGTTTGATTGAAAAAAGGGCTTTTTTCCTTTTCCGAAGAAAAGCAGCCAAAAGAGCTTGAGGCGATTCCACAGGCTAAGAAGGAAACGTCGGTGGAATCCGAAATAAAACTGGAGGATTCAATTGAGTGGGAGAATTGAAAGAGGAAAAAGGAAAAAAAAGAAGATGTCCTACTCAAATTATAAATCGATATTGATAATGTAAAAGATAAAGTGGCAACAACCAGAATCACAAGTGGAAAAGAAGAAGAAGTAGGGAAGAGGAGTTGATGAAGCAAATGTACAAATAGATGAAATGAAGAAGGATAACATGGAAGAACAAATATCATTTTTTTTTCTTCCCTACAGCCCATAACCCGCACTCGTCGTTCGTCTCTCTGTCTCTTGATCATTTCAATTCAGAATATATTTTCTTTTATTCTTATTCTCTCTCTCTCTCTCTCATTTTTTTCAGATCAAAAGTTCGAGCGAAACAAAAAAACGACAAAGTCTGATGGGCTGGTTGGTAGCAGTGATGGACATCTCTTCTTCATTTCATATGCAAACCAATTTTCATTATTTCATAGTTTAAAAGGGTTTTCTTTTTATTTTATTAAATAATTAAATTAGAATTATGACAAATAAGATGTTAAAGATCCAGCTGAGAATATTATGTTCGATGACTTGTCGTCAAATCGATAAAACAAGAGCAGATAGACTCTTTAAAGCTTGAAGGTTGTAAAGCTGAATGGGAGATGAAACAGGGCCAAGCAGGCGTCTTTCTACAAATCTTTAGGTGGAGGTTGACGTCATTATGGATGATACAAGCTATATCAAGGATATCATAAAGAGGTGGAAGAAAAAAGAAAAATGAGGTGACGAAGAGATAAGAGGGGAGAATAGAATGACAGAGGTAGAGTGGAAAGGTTATTGAAAGTGGCAGCGAGTGAAGGGTGGAGGAAGGAGGAAGTACCTGAGGGTGATAACATTGATCTAATCACTTATTATTAATATATATATTGATTGAAAGATTTATTTACAACTTCAGATCCTTGTTGGCATGAAAAGAGAAAATGAAAGAAAAAAAAAAGAAAAATGATTACAACTCAAAAATGAAGGAAAACATATGTTATAACTTAGGATAAGTTGTTCGAACAGAAAAATTTTAAAATTAAAAAGAGGTTGTGATGAAAAAAAAAAGAAGAATAAGAAGAGAAATGAGAACGTTTGTTCGCAATTAATCTTCTGAAGAACAGACCTTGTGGTTGTTAGGTTGTGTCTGTGTGTGAGTATGTGTATGTGTATGTGTATGTGTACGCGTGTGTGTATGTGGATGAGCAAAGACGCTCTACATCATCAAGCAGAATTTTCATGCAATTCACACAAATTTTAATTTTTTATTAATTAAAATACTTAATTTATTATGAAACATTGTGTGAAGTTGTGTCATATGGCTTAGCTGAGCAGACAGCTCATTGATGGTCATCCTTGCTCCAGCTTATGAAATCTTCCAGGCGTTTGGCTTTCATTTCTTCTCATCCGACTGCAGCTGATGATTTTGTGTGGTAAAAGCCTCAAACACACACAACCTATATTCACATTTGACACAACACCTGTTCGTTAAAATAATAAAAAGAAAACGTTTATTGAAAAGTACACGAAACATTAGTTTTAAAAGAGGAAAAAATGAAATTTCCATTTTAATCGACAAATGGGTTATGATGACAAACAGACGGATGTGTAACTGAGATTCAAAAAAACATGCGACAGCTTCTTCTTCTTCTTCGTCTTCTTCAGCCAAGTGTCTTCTCTTCATTCTCTACATTTAGGGAGTGTATATGATCTGAATAGATGCTCTGATTAGTTCATCTTCAACCACATCCCTCTCTATCTCTCTCCTACTCTCTCTCTCTTTCTCTCTTAAGGAAACGAAATTCACTCTGCCGGAGGATAACTGCGTTTTGACTTATTTGCTTCAGTCGCCTACTTTATTCCTCTCAAACATGAAGAATTTCAATTCTTCTCACATTAAATTACAATTTTTTTATTGGAACACTACCCTCAATCATTTGCTCGCACGAAACTGATTTGACCGTCTACATAGGTTCATCCTTAACACTGATTCTTTCAGCCAATCGAAAGAATGTTCTCCGAGACGCTTTCTATCAGGAATTTTCCGGTATAACTTAGTTCGTCAAAGATTCAAAGTTGTTTTTTGATTGTCCAGCATCAAATGGACAAGAAATCATCCCGAACATTGATGCTTATCCTTACCACATTCACTTATCTCTTACTTGGAGCTGCAGTGTTCGATTGGCTTGAAAGTGCTGAAGATCGCCGTCTGCGGGATGAGATCTCACATATCAAAGGAAACCTGCAGAAAAAATATAACTTTACTGGACGGTAGCATGGTCTATCTAATTGGTTGTCTATACAATCCTCATAGAGATATGGAACTGTTTGAAATCATAATCCATAAGAGCATACGACATCGAGCTGGGTATCAATGGCAGTTTTCGGGAGCTTTGTATTTTGCTGTTGTTGTTATTACGACTGTCGGTTCGTTCTTCTTCATACTATTTTTTTCTTTTTCCTAATTATTTCTTATAAGGTTACGGCAATTCCGCTCCGGAAACAGCCGCCGGAAAAATATTTTGTATGTTCTTCGCGTTAGCTGGAATACCTATGGGTCTGATTATGTTTCAATCCATTGGTGAACGAGTAAATACTGGAATAGCCTTCTGTCTTCACAAAGTTAGTGTGTTCGCAGAGTTTGACCAGGAACCTAATCAAACTGATCAATCTTGATCATGATTTCTATGCTCAGGTACGCCGGGCAGCTCATCAACGTGGTTGGCAAGTGTTGAGTGATGTGACTCCGACTCATCTACTCATGGTTTCTCTATCGATAGGAACTACAATAATCATCATTGGTTAACTTGATTATCATGTCTATCAACCCATCCCTTCTTTGCAGGAACTTATGTTTTCAGCAAAATAGAGCGATGGTCCTTCTTCGAAGCATATTATTATTGTTTTATAACATGTAAGAGTATTGTCTTCTATCTTTCTGCTCAATGTTCATGCTCAGTGTCCACTATTGGATTTGGGGATTATGTTCCTCTTCAACAAGGCTCAGCTTTACAAGCTCGACCAGGATATGTCGTTTTCAATCTTCTTTTTGTAATTGTTGGTTTGGCGGTGTTCTCTGCTTGTGTTAACCTTCTTGTTCTTGGGTATAACAACAACTGGACATACTTTCCACCTATCCAATTACTTTCTTTGAAGATTTATGGCACCTAATGCTGACGAAGTAACGGCAGCACAGCGAGAGCCATCTGCCGGAATAATTCTGGAAAAGTTCGCAAGGTATGTATAGCTGAGCTTCGTCAGAGCTCAATCTTTGAATCTTTGATTTTTAAGGTCAGGAAGCTTAGTTGATTCACAACTATTTGGTGTTCGAAGACCAAGTGTTGCTCCACAAGGCAAGCGCAATACGCGACAGGTAAGTGAACAAGCATCTCACTCAAAGTACGTAAACGCTTTCTTCAGCTCTCTCTTTCATCCGCTTCAAACATAATGCATTTCGAGAAGCCAAAAGAGAATATAAGGTGATTTTAGAGAAAGAGACCAGAGAAATCAACATACTCCATGTTTCAGGTGGTTCACAAGGTTTTTCAATCTTTTCCGAGAACCGGAAAGACCGTCATTCTCGATTGTTCGACCGCCAACTAGAAATATTAGTCATTTATTATCTTATTAATAGTATAACAACTTATAAATATATACAAATAGATAGATATGAATGTAAAATAATAATTATAAATATGAAAGAAACATCGAGATTTTGAGATACCGGGTTATAAAAAGATTTTTGTAATGAATAAAAATAAAAATTTTGTTTTAAGCAATAGCCCATTTGTTTTCACTCAATTGTAATAAGCACACATTGTATCCACATCTGAATATGATAATTCTTCTGTTTCTTTTTCTATTTACTTAAGCACATACCGTGTTGGGCAGCAGAAACGCTGTTGAGCTGAGTTTGAATAGCAATCTGAATCAGCTCGACACCAGCTTGTACCAAACTGACGAGAGCATCCAATATTCACAGCATCCATACGAGGGCATTGCGATGGGACGACTGACATTGCAGACACTATGGATACAGTTATATAATAAAGAAAATGTAAAGCATATCTTACGTCTTGAGACCATGTCGATAGGTGGAGTCATGCGCAAGCACATATTGTAACCACAACCAGATGGACAGCATCTTTGATTTTGGTTCAATCCAGAGGAATGGCAATCAGAGTCAGAATGACACCAGTTAACGATTTTCTGAAAAAGAAGATAGTTTATGCTCGAAAAGGGATATTGAGTGTCGATGCCCTACCTTGGCATTACACTGGACACCCATCATCTGTGGAGAAGGACAAGTCTGCTGGTTAAGGTCTGGAATGCACATATTCGACATCTTCTTGTTTTCGGCTTTTCAAATACCTGTCTGACGGATAAAGGTGTTGGTGGTTTGAGGAGTACAGCAAGGGTTTCCTTTGACCCAGCATAGTAAACCTAATGGACAATGTGCTGCTTTCTGGCATCTTCCCCAATCAGTTACAACGTCACAGATTGGCATTGAGAGAGCTGAAAATGATTTGAAATGGTTACTCGAGCTTAGCCATGTTATAAACTATTTGCATCAACTTTGTTTTCTTTATTTATTATAGACCAATGGGCTTGTCGGGGTCTTGTGCATTCAACACGGGCAATCCCTCTGCGATACCAATAGTCACACCATGACATTTCTTGAAAAAATGTATCATAAGCGAAGATTCAGCATTGAAACTTACTGTCAGCATGGACTGACTCCAAAACGAAAATCAAGGATAAAACGAAGATAGCGAATTGCATCTGAAACACTGCTCAGTTAAAGAAACACGACGAAATGGAAATATGCAAATGCACGTTATAACACGTGAACAAGGATATGCACATTAACAGCGAAACATTGACAGAGAGCGGTTGCATTCGAACGTTCCATAAACGAATGGACAGATTTGGAACGGTCGAAACATTTTCATGTGAGGACATTATTGGTGAGTGTGTGAAGTATAAGTAGGCAAAGTGAAACGAACAGGCTATGAGGATGCCCGCCTCTTCTGACCACTCCCATCCACTTGGCAGACTATCATAACGTCAAAAGCTGGATGATGATAAAGGAAAAATAACGGAAGAATCTTGATGACATAGGTGTAAAAGACCGGAAAAAAAAAGTTTTTGGTCTTAAAAAGAGAAGAAGCTTAATGGCTGAAAAGAAAACATGAAGTTTTGAGAGAGATGGTAGAGATGAAGAGGAAGAAGGATAAGGAGAAGGCTTGAAGCAATCCGACTATCGTCATTCGAATGATTCTGTGTTGTTGGCACGTATGAACGACCGGATAACACAGACGTTCTTGTTTGTTAAACAACAAAGATTGAACGACAGAGACGAGAGAATATTCGTTCGGAGGACATCTTCAATCGTTTGCACTTGATGAGAATTGTCAAGACACTCAACAGAAACATCTCCCTTTTTTGACAAAACATTTTTTTGTCATCGAGCTCAATCCAGAAATTAAGAAGCTCAACACCATTGAGCTTAGAGCAAAGAATTTCAAGCAAAAATTGAAGATTTCCAAGAATAAGCTTGAAACAACCTCAAACAAACAAAAAAAAAATTTTTTTGTACTTTTTTTATTTCGTTTAGCTTCATCAAAACATCTAATAGACTATGAAAACACTTTTATGGAATAAATGAGCCGAAAGTGGATACGAAAGTTTTCAATTTTCGAACACAACACACTGTTTGTTTGATTAAAAGATGAAGCATAACACACCCATCATCCAAATATGGTGTGGACACACGAAAATCGTTTGATTTTCATCATTTCCTTGAACCATTGACTAAACGAGAAAACCACTCTCTCATCCAATTCTCTCAGAGAGTTTTCTTTTTGCACAATTCAAACTGTCCAGAAACTTTTTGATTCGACAAAGACTGGATTGGCTGGCAATTCATCGCAGTTTTTCTCAGTTCAAGTTGGAAAAGTTGAAGACAAAAGCTTGCGACGAGCTTCAAGAGATCTGCTTCGGTAAAGAAGCTTCCGTAAGGCACATGGTGAGAAAAATAAGAATTTTGAAAGAACAAGAAGACGAATGAATGAAGACAAAAAAACAAAAACGAACGAATATCATAAGAATTAAATGAACGAATTGACTTGCAAGAGTACAAGGAGAAGCTTGCTCCATTTGGAGTGGAGACACATTACGATGTTTGTACGTGTTTCTGTCAAGATCAAACCTCTTAATTCGAACAAAAAAAGAAATGATATCTGTTGTTTGTAATCTCACGAATACATCAAACATTACAGAAAATGAGAAAAAAAAGATAATTTTGCTATAAATTATAATTGGAATAGTCACATATGCTCATCGTAGTCACCTCGTCACAGGCCACAACTGAGTTTCGCTAGTCGCTACGGTGGAGATGCAATATCCAATGAGTTCTCAAGTTCATCTCTTGCATGAGTGAATGTGATCATAAAAAACTATCAAATGATTACTCTGGATAGAAATGAAAGAAAAAAACATTTCGTGTCAACTTTTCTATGAACTCTCTCTGATTTGGAAATGAAAGAATCATCTCTTTATATCTTGCTATCGCTCGTAATCAACGAAAAGCAAATTAATAGAGAGAGGGAGAGAGAGAGGGTAAGAGAGAGAGAGGGAGAAGTCCATCTCAGATTCGGACAATCATCAAGAGTAGAGTTGGTGAGCTTTTATGAAATCAAAAGAATAACCAACAGAGCGAGAGATACAGCAAATACGGTATAGCATGGAGAGAGTGTCTAGTGAATGGAGTCTCATCTTCCTCTCCCCGTGAGGACCCACAGAAGCGAAATCTGACGACTCAAATATCAAAGATAAAGAAAAGTCCAGCCTAACCTACGATCTGAATTGAATAACCTGAAAGAAGCTTGTTGGATATGAGAGTATCCGAGAGGCTTCATTCAGATTATTCAATTCGAATAAGCTGGAAATTCAAGTTGTTTAATATTTCGAGTTTATCAAAAGCAAACAAATGAAATGAAAAACTTAATTAATCGAAAATCAATTATAATCAAAATGATTTGAAATTTTAAAAATATTTTGTGTGGCTCATCCGAAATCCACGTGGAAGTTGCCACGTGAACTCATTTTCTCGAAAGTATGGGTGGAGAACGGCAGGTCGAATCCCAGAACACCTTCTACATTGGAATCGTGATTGGAACTATGATAGCCATAGCATGGCTTCTTCTTGTACGAAAAGTATTTTTACATTAATTGCATACCGACAGTGATTGTCTCTTTCAAGAAGCACCATAAGCACTCCTCTCATCATCATCATGACGCACATCACAAAAGTATTTGTTTCGCTCGTTAACAGTTTTCATGTATTATTTCTTGTAGGCCACAGATCTAACTCGTCTGAAGCTCGGAAAAAGGTTTTTTAATAATTAGCATAATCGAAATGAAATAGTTTAGCGAGTTTTTAAATCTACAGGTGTGGTTCCTATTCCGCCAACACCACCACCACCATTGAAAACAACCAGCAAACTGTCGTCATCACACAATAAATAAATTTCTAATTTGTCTTCATCCTCAGTAATTCTGCCAAGTGTTTGAACTCATGAATGGCTGTACTTCGAAGGTAGAGCTGGAAATCAATTGATTGGATGTTCTGTGGCACCTGCGGTCACGCTTCACCTCTGTTTCCCACATCATGTTGACTATTTTCTCGACATTTGTACAATCAAGCGGTACATCCTGCAAGCCGTTCGATTGTTAGAAACATAATGATGTTCTTACTGAATTAAGCATGGGATTGAAACGGAAGTAAGGAATACTTAGAGAATGACACCAAGCTCGAGCCGTTTTCACAGGCATTCCCTGTGATGATGTGACCTATGAATTACTGTAAACGTAATTAAAACAGTTTCTTAGAAGCTAACCTCTTTAATCAGTAGATGGAAAGCAGTTTTGGCTGTTGTTACGACATTCATTAACCCACGGGCTAATCGTATTGGGTTTTTCTAAAACTTCTACTCACTCTTTGAGTTCTGTCTGACACACCTTATCCAAGTTCTTCAAGTTGAGATCAATGCCTTTGGTTTTTTCTGGTGGTCCAATACCGGTCCCGATGGATATAACAAGTCCGATTTTCTCTTTTTCCTCATTAATATCCTACACATAGATCGCATGTGATAGTAATGGACTATTTCCTACTGAGTAATGAGTTTCCAGTTTTAAAATATTGAAGAACTCGGTCATCATCGCCAGTGTGGGATTATTGGCGACCAGCCCACCATCGGACAAGCCATTGAAAGATTCAAAAAAGTATGGAGCAGCTCTTATAACGGAAATGAATGGAAGTTATGAAGAGTTAACTAACGAAGTACATCTAGCTGCCTTCCATAGTAATATCCGTGATGGATCCAGGAACTTGTTCTGTCTGCAGATCTCTTTTGGTATGCGTGGAAGGTATGAACGGAAAAGCACCAAGTTCGGAGGAGTTGTTAACGTGTCAGCGACAGTCACAAACACTCTGAAAGAACTTGTGGAAAAGTGACGTGTATGGTATTTGAACCTTTTGGAAAGACTACTCATTTTAGATTTCTTTCCGAAAATTGCTTTCGACGTCTTTTCAAATCCTTCTGATGAATGCTTTGGGAATTTTTCCTGAATTTTTCGTTTCGTCAGAATGTCGTTTCGAGTACTAGTTTTACCTTGTTTCCACAGAAAACCTCGTTCCTCATTTCGAAGAAATGGCGTCTCATATTTTCCGGCAAATGATCTGAGAACCAATTTCAAATCTTCAAATAGATATTCAGGCAACCTTGTCCGATGAGCAAAGCCGTAATTCCTCCACAACTCGTTCCGGCTATCATATCAATTTTACTCAAAAAGCCCCCAGAAATATAGGAATCAAGGAATATTAAAACCTTCAAAGGGTTCAATTATTGAAATTAAAATGTTAATCACTTGTAACAAAGCCAACACTTTGATTCCTCCCCCATCAAGTGAGAGCAACACTTTTGCAGAACTTGGCCAGGACTTAATTGAGTTCAATATTCTCAGATTTTCTTTCATGCTCACATCTGAATCATCATTTCACAAAGAATATAAAAATAGAACAGAACCGTCATATGGAGCATACTTTTCTCCAATCATTTGTAAATCTTCTTTTATCCTGAACTGTTAAGCTTAAGATCTTGAACAGAAGAAGAATGATGAACCGTTCATTACAAGCCAAGTCCTCAGCTATCAACCCACGCTTGTTTCTAATTTTCCATAGCTTGATGGGAGTTGAGAAAACAATCAGAAGACGACATATGAGAACATTCCCATTCTGAACCAAAAGAAGTTTACTGAGAGTGCACTAGGTTGGCCTCACCATCGATGCAATGTGCAAAGCAGTGTTGCCATCATGCTCATTTACTGTATGTAGTTTCATTCTCTTTTCATACAAGTCCAAAATGGTGTTTACATCTCCCAGTCTAACTGCTTGGAAGAGAATTTCTAATTTGGTTGGAAATAAAGTCTTCAATGAACAAAGGATATTTGAATATTAATACAAAGCTGGATTTAAACCTCTGCCGTAAGATGACTGTGTCCCTCAGCATCTTCCGGTATACGTTTCTTCATGACCAACTGCTTTCTCGAATTTTTTTGTTCAAAATGGAAAATGACTAAAGCGCAGGTCGTTTATGAAGAGAATGGCATTCACTGTCTGTTTACCTTAAAGACAAATCAGAGAATGGAAATGAAATTTTGGCTTTTTTTTTATATTTTTTCTGCTTCTGTTTTCTCAACCTTCGTTCGAAGTTATTTTTCATTCACTTTTTTAAAAGAAAAGCTTCAACATTGGTTTGTCCTCAATAGAAAATAGAAACAAGACCATAATCTCTTCCGTTTGGGTGGTCAGCGGTCAAGTAAACTGCTCGTTTTCAGGTTTCTCATCTATTTATTTAGGAGTTTTCTAATCATTTCGTTATATTTAAGGAAAACACAGCATTTGGAAAGCAGCTCAAAACGCTGCAAAACGAAAAATCTATTTTTGAATCTTTTTTTCTTCTCGAATTATGAACGTTATAGTCTTTTCGATTTTCCTCTTCATTGGAATTGATCTCATTTCATCTCAAGTAAGCTATTGTCTTTGATCTCGTTTGTTTCAATACTTGTTCAGACTTCAGACTCAGAACTAAGTTATGAAGACACCATTGAGACAGATTCTACCTCTTCATTCTGTAAGATTTTGGAAGATTTCATCCTTCTGAAGCTCTTCTATCAATTTCAGATGAAACCTTGAACAAGCGTTCTCTCATCACCAACTTTTTCATTCCCTTAAGATTAAAAAATCATAATATTAATAATATTCGTATGGCTGATCCTAAATCTGATCCAGTGACGTCATCGATCTCTGTAAGTCCAAGTTCTTTGGTATTAATAATTATAATAATTATAATGAATATCTCTTATTATATATCAGACATATAATTTCAGAGTTCGATTGCATCGACAGCAGATTTGGGACAACTTTTGTCGTCATCAAAGCCATGCCCTTTAACATCCGATGGACGAACCTTGCAAATCGAGAACTTGCGCATTGCTCCTGATTCATTGGATCAACTAGCATCTCTGGCTAAGCAGTTTGGGATAAACCCGAATATTCATTTGAATACTGTAAAGAATATTCTTGAAGTAGCTGATAGTGAAGATATCATGCCGTTGTATCCCAGCCAACCTGTTCGATCTGTTGGACTGTACTCCTCATCGTGAGAAAAAATAAATACGTCAACAACCGTTCGCCATCTGATAAACAACCTTTGAATGTGAAAAAACTACGTGAAATAGTACGTGAAATCAGTGTGATGCAAATTCTTGTTGAACAGTTGATTAGCAGATTGCATGATCGCCTGCAATACTCTTTCAAAAACCATTTGTGTAGAGAAGCCAATAAGGAAATAAAAAAATATCTGTTTTTCAATTAACTATAAATATGCTTTTGTAAAGTTTTATTTATAAAGAATGACGAAATAATATAGTTCTTGTTACATACGCCTAGACTTTGCCCTTTGAATTCATCAGCCGGTCTGATCATTCACTATCTGTGTTTGAAATGAAGAAAATTTGATATGATGAGGTAAGATATGATCGTTTAAAAAGAAGATTACACCCATTAAAACACATATACTAATCGATGAGACTTGTTCTGGCCAGCTCGCATTCATAGGTTCGACTATTCATATCCCACATCGTTTACTATGTTACGAGTTGTTTGAAACAAAGTAAAGGAATGATCAACTGTCTATCGATAACAATTCTTGCATAACGAAGAACATGTGTCTGAAAATTTTTCAAATGGTTGGGAAGCGCTTGTCCAAGAAGGCAATAACAGAAGGGAAATTGTACCGGAAGAAGTACTCGCTATCCAGACTACGAATTTCGCTGCTCGGTTCCCACAACTCAAAATATGCCTCGAGAGTGGGAGCAGTTACGAGCACCTCCGCACTAGGTGGGTGCCTATTTTTTGTCCAGTTCCCTGGAGGGGCAATGCCGAGCGCAGCTCCTTAAGGCCAATCATAGCATCAGCTACTTTGATCAAGTGATGATTGAAAATAAGCGCTTTTGGCCACCTAATTATATAGCGCAAAAGCTCCTCATGCTCTTCACGTGTGATGCAAACAGCGGCCAGCTTGATGAGCTCGTCGTCAATCATGAAGAGTAGAGGAGATGATGTCGGCGCCACCATGTTATACGCAGATGAGAGGTTGCTGAAGATGTAGAAGTCGAAAAAGCAATGCTACCTAAGAATCTGCATATTGCTAGCACCCGTTAAATCTACAATATATCTACCATAGCTCACACCATGCGAAAATTAAATGCGATCGTTTTATTCAAATAGAACTGGGTTGTTGCGTCCAGTGAGATGAGTGAAGTATGGCCGAGAACGTTTTTTGATTTTTCTCTTTGCAAAATCAAAAGTTGAAATCAGGAAGGGATACGTGTTGAGGGCAAAGTTCGAGACTTAGCTTGGTTATAGCATGGAAAGCATGCTGTAATCCCATTTACACTGAATTTCAGAGAGAAATAGAGGAAAAGAGAGAGAGAGAGAGAAAAACAAAAAAAGCTTCAAAAGTTTCGGAAAACTAAACTAGGGCGACTTCATGCGGAAGTTTTTGAGGACTATCTTTGTTTTTTTATAGAGAAGCTGCATAAATAAAGGCATGGCTACTTGTACAACCGCTCTCTGATGTCTGAAATTTAAAAATGTGTTTTTCACGTGGATGGAGCTCATCATTAACTCCATGCCACAATTAGCAGATATTGATATTATATATATATAAATATATATATAGATAATTAATTTGCGTTTAATCATATATTAGCTCTCGAGACATGATGATCTGTGGATTACGTGAATGATTTTACTTTCATTTTTATAAATTTCATTTTTTTTTCTCCGTTTTTTTTTGGCCCTGCAAATTTGCAGACTAAAGAGCTGCAGCTCTATTGTGACTTTGGTTTGCAGATGCTTTGAAGCATTTTTTAAATTTTTTGATTGTTTTTTATATTCCAGAGAGTTAATCCCTTTGTGTATGCACGTGTCAATGTGCCTGTAACTGTTCTGAAATAGTTGAGAATGTGTGTTCTCTTTTCATTTTCTCTGATTGATATTCTTAGTATCAGCAATTGGATGTAGATGTGAACACGTGAAATAGCAGAACTTATTTATCAATCGTCATAAGACCAACAGAACAAGGATGGAATAGAAGACAGTGAGAGATAGATAGACAGCCAATGCAATAAAGTGTTTAAGGAGAGAAGAGACATGTCTGATAGATAGAAATCTAATGAGAGAAGACGAACCCATGATAGATCATGACCAACACAAGACACACTAAATGGTCCAATGATCTTTGACATAGAGTTTTCCGAAGTTCTTTCTCTCATTTGCACTTTGTATTTAAGCAAATTCATGTAAAAACATAGAAGGTTTTCATCATATACAGTTCCACGCTGCTGATATTTCATCAGACACACACCATCGGCGGACATCATGATGAACACGTGAAGAGCATATTATCTGATGCAATCTGATAGATACATTATCAATATCTATTTTATAATATGCCAATATGTTAATTAGTAAATAAATAAAAACATATGAAAGATGGCGATTTGTGATCGAATGATATGAATCGTCTGATTTTAGAAGTTTACAGAGTATGTTCGTTCTTTGAAATGCATCATCACCCCCCCTCTCCGCCGCCAATTCATAATGCAATGACATTTCGTGTAAGAAAAAAAAGTTAAAAGAAGAATGATACCACGTGCTTTCACTATAAGATTTGAAGGTTTTTATATTTCATTAAAACTTCTGAAGGTTATTCAATTTTGACATTATATTGAACAAGAGCCTATACATGCGAATGATAGACACAGCGTGTGAGTTGAAGTAAGCGAGAGAGTACGTGGTTGGAAGGAAGGATGAGAGGGGAATGGATGGATATAGTTAGAAAGTGAATGAAGTCAAAAGTGTCTTCAGATGATGAAAACGATAAATTAAATTGAAAGTATAAACTCATATGTATACACACACATGCACAGTTGCTCATTCATCTTGGATGCTTCCATATTTCAAGAGTGTCCCCCTCTTTTTCCTTGAAATATGTCAAACGATTTTATTTATTTAAAACTTAACAGCCGGAATTTAAGCTGACATTTTATTAATTTTTGGTTTAGCAGATGATTAAACATCACATTGACACGAAAAAGACTTCTTTACATACAGTTTTCAGTTCCAAGTATGCAAGGTGATGTCATAATTGAGAAATTGACCTTCTAAAGGCTTTTCCTTACTTCTAGAGCTCATCTTATCACATCTCACACACACTCTCTAAATGAGATATTACTTTAACTTCCGTTTTGCAGAGAAAGCCACGGACATGATGTCATTTGTGATCTCAAAAACTGCAAAAGACAAAATGCCATTTAAGCTGAAATAGCACAGATCTAACCTAATTTTAGATTTGGAAAATATTTCTTTTTAACCAATTTGATAATTAAAAACAGCTCGTTTGCAATGTCCATACCGATATAGGCGACGAGGTCTCTACCCCCAGCTTCTCTCTCTCTATCTCTCTTACTCTCTCTTCTCAATCAGTCACTTTAATAAGGAAGTAAATAAAACAATAAGGAAAACCTTCAACTCTCTATCTCTCTCTCTCTTGATCCCTCTGAACTGCATGGCTTTTGCTTTTGCTAGTTCTCGAAAAAGCTGTATTCATAACAAATTTATTTGTTAACTTCTCAGCTTAGCAACCTTAAGCTGAGCATGAATGCAAGCAATATGCTAATTAACAGCTTGCTTGCAAAAATAGGATGAAAAGGTTCAAACGAATCATCGCCTACGAAGATGTTTTCTTTCACTTGCTTAAACAAGAAGCATATACTACATCAGGATAGAACATCTTTCCATTCCCCATGATTCCGTTTCACTTCCAACATGCATACACACACACACACGGAAATGACTGAAGTTAATGATGATGATGAAATTCATCTGAAGCATTGACGTCTATGAAAACCTGTATGAGCTTTGATGAGAAAACCTTTTTTTTTCGTCATCCGAACATTCTCAT